CAGGGGTGGATCGAGTTTTCAGGAAACGGCAGATAGGTGATGGGATTGACCTTTGATGAAACGAGCATGGCATTTGCACCAAGTCAGAGTATGTCATGAGAAAGATATAGGGTCATCGCAGAGTTGTCCTTGATAAAAGAATATAAACAAGTAACGGCAGCCATTTTGAAAGTTTTTAATATTGCTTGTTATTCTACCTAATTGTCTGTTTTTACACAGGATAAATCTGCCATGTCTCTATGGCTAACTATTTTTCTTAAGACGTACCCTGTGTGCCTAATTACATGCTTGTATCAATAAAAACACAGTTTCCCCGAATATTTCCCCAATATCTGCCTGCTCAATCCCCGTCCCGGCAATCATTTAACTAAAGTGGAATCATTTAGCTAAAGTGGAAACACAGGGAGACAAATGTTTTAAACAAGAACCTGTATATACAAAAGAAACATTATTAAACATAAAAAAAATCACCTGTTGTGTTGAATTTCTCATTGTAGAGTTTACGAAGGGGAAAGAACCCAAAATGGTTTCATAGCGGAAACGTGTTTTCATGTACGTATCTTATTTAGTTTTACGTCCATTTGTGACAGTTTCCGCTACGTTTTGTGAAGCAGTAAAAACATAGCTTTTTAGCGGGATTTTATGAGTTTCTTAGGAGATCTCTCATTTACGAAATTGCTCAGTAGCTAAAACTGACCAATTTTCTGAAATTGAGATTGCTGTTTGGTATCGGTCCAGTGGGTGCGGTCACGAGAACAACCGACGCGAAACAACCCTTTATTCGGCATCGCTGGTTTAATATTGCTAATTGCAAATTAACTGGGCTGCCTACCAATTAGGGAAGGCTACGTTACCCTGCCAACGAATAACTGATGGTCCACTTCAAAATGTTAATAAACAAAAGAAATTGTACACAGGTGCGGATCTTTCTTTCAGGAAAGGGTAGGATGTTAATATGAGGGGGGGGGGGTGAGTGCCGAATGCCCTTGAAGGTGATTTAGAAGGGAAAAAAAGAGGGGCTTTAGCATTCCATGAATTATGAGGGGGAAAAAGAAGGTGAAGAGTTGCCTAACGTAGGAGACTTGAACAAGTTCAAGGAAATTCCCCAAGTTTATGGCAAGAAAACATTCTCACGTTGACATAAATGTTGCAAGCAACGATGATCTTTTATTTTTGGGAATTTTCTTGATCATGCTCAAGTCTCCAACGTAAAGCAACCATTCACCTACTTAAATTTGAGCCCAAATTATGTCATTTCCCCTCTTTTGATTTCACGGCTAAATATCACAATGATGCCATTGTTCACAAGACATACAGTTTTAAAAGGGTAACTGTGCCAATAAGCAACTTGGTGAATTTGAGGCTCATCAATACTGAGGTTTGGCAAGACGACTTGATGATATCTGGAGACAAGGTAAATGCGCCCAATTTTTAGGGTATAATAGTAGCCATTTAAGGCAGTATGTCCTAATTATTCAGTCACTGACATGCTTAAGAAAATGTTATTAAGTAAAGATGTGTAAGTATAATCACCAAAATAAAATTTAAACAAATTAAAAAATGAAATATATCAAAATATAGCAACAAATATATTACATGAGTATGAGCAGTTTATGCAAATGAGGCATATTTCCACCACTTAGATGTTTTGAGACTTTGTATGTCATTCTGGGGAACTTATTGCAATGCACTGTTTTGCATCAATTCTGTTGCAATTTGCGTGAGGTTTACTTAAAAAATGAAGTATTTTGCCTGGACTAGAGGTTGAGATATTCATCGTGGCTTTGTTCTTTCCAACATGACAATATTTTGCAAACTAGACTGAAAGAGGTGTTTGCACTGCCATCCACTCTAAGAAAAATCATCACAGTACCTTCTAAAAATCAAACCAAAACATATTCCTGTCAATAAAAGGGCTGGGCACATTTCCATTGGCTTCGCGGCAGTTGCTTCAAACGAAGAGCTTAGTTAAGTTGAACTGAATTCATTGAATGTTGAAATGGATTTCACGCATTGTATATTGCACTTTCCGCACCATCACCGTCGAATTAACTGCCGCAATGCGGACGCGAGAGAGACAATGGAGCCCGACTCCTGATGGCGCGCTTCCGGAACCCTTGAACAGGAATGTTAAAGTGCAAAATGTTGTACAACTAGCAACTGTTCTTGATTTCTTAAGAAAACCATCCGCGAAAAAGACATTTCAAATATTATTGTAGGGTCAAAAGTGGGACTGTTTTGACACTTAGTAGTGGTCTGGTTTTGGTGCTTACAGCGGCGATAGGCCTAGATTCCCCCTACCATGCTTTTTGGGGAAGCAGGAAATAAATAGCTTTTTAGTTGAATAATTTTTTAGTTTCTTCAAAAAATATTTCATCCTTATGAAATTGCACAGTAGCTACAAACTGATAACGATTCTAAAATTGAGATTGCTGCTTGAAAATGCACTATAGACTCAGTGCCTGATGCAACAAGAACAGCCTACGCGAAACAACCCTTTATTTGGCCTCGATGTTTTTGGGTTTTTTCTTTGGCTCTTTATTGCTAATTACAAATTATCTCGGCATCCAACTAATTAAGGTAGGCTATTTTACCTGCAAACCAATAACTGATGGTCGACTTCACAATGTTAATAAACAAAAGAAGGTGTGCACACAGGGGTGGATCGAGTTTTCAGGAAACGGCAGATAGGTGATGGGATTGACCTTTGATAAAACAAGCATATGCATTTGCACAAAGGGAAAACTCAAAATGGTGAATTTTCTTCATAAAGCTTTATATACAGGAATGGAGTCAGACTCTGACATCACTATAAGTGCATTTTGCCATATTTACAAATATTCTTTGAATAAAAAACAATTGCAATCTAGTAAAGATGTGTAAGTAGAATAACCGAAATAATATTTCAACAAATTAAAAAATGAAATATACCAAAGTATAGAAACAAATATATTACACGACAAGTATAAGCGATTTATGCAAATGAGGTAAATTTCCACCACTTCGATGTTTTGAGACTTTAGTATGTCATTCTCGGGAACTAATTGCAATGCACTGTTTTGTTCACTTTAAAAATGAAGTATTTTTCCTGGACTACAGGTTGAGATATTCTTCGTGGCTTTGTTCTTTCCAAAATGACATATTTTGCAAACTAGACTGAGAGAGGTGTTTGCATCCCCCCCCCCACTCTAAAAAAATTCATCACAGCACTTCCAAAATCAAACCAAAACATATTCCTGTCAATAAAAGGGCTGGGCACATTTCCATTGGCTTCGCGGCAGTTGCTTCAAACGAAGAGCTTAGTTAGGTTAAACTGAATTCATTGAATATTGAAAAAGCTTTCACGCAATGCAATGCACTTTCCGCACCCATCAAGTATTCGCGTCGAATTAACTGCCGCCATGCGGACGCGAAAGAGACAATGGAGCAAGACCCCTCATGGCGCGCTTCCGGAACCATGAACAGGAATGTTCAAGTGCAAAAATAGCCTAACGTGAAAGAGAAATATCGTGCAAAAACTAGACCTCTCACCTCCGAAAATTTAAAATACGTGTCGATTAGTGGAACTTGGCGTATTTGTACAAAGACTTAATTTATAAAATAACTTTGTCGTGGTCATTGGCTGAAAACTGAAACTGAAATAGGCGACCACACATTTTCTTAATAAACTTGAAGGACTCATAAGCATTTACAAATAAAAACTCATCGGCTGTAGGTAGGTGAATCTGCGCGTCATTTAAAATTACATTTCGTCCTAACGCAAGTACACGATGTGAAAACAAACGCGAATGAACTATAGACCAAGAAGGAAAACGCCGGATGTGTTAGGTCGTTAGTACAATTCGTTTGTACCCATCTTCAAGTGATTTGTCAGGAATACCAAGATAACATTCCAACATGAATGTTTCTTGGGGTGATTACGGTGATTATAGCAAGAGAAAGGCAATCCAGTGTAAAATGTCCACAGGCGGGTCGCGAGGGATCCGGAAGCTTGCAGTTTGATCTTTTACTTTCACGCTCTGTTGTGAGCATGCGCATTCTTACAAGATTTTGACCTACACGATTGTGACCTTACAACAGTGCCGTGCAACTGCCGGTAAGAACGACAAAGTCGGGTAGACTGTGTCGATCCAAAGCTTGGTTCTGTGTCGAACTCAATAATGTCAATGGTTCTAAATGCAATGTTGAATTCAAAGATTCAAATTAATTGTTATTTAGATGTCACTTAACTGGTTTGAGTTCGCATTGGTGTAGCAACAATAAGGAATTTCCCAAGGAAACGATGGCTGCGTATCGAGTCGGTCACTCTCGATGCTCTCGAGAGTTGCTTTTTTTCTTCTTTTTTTTTTGCGTACACATTGTTTTTGTGCCTTTAAATGATTTGAAAATTACTTGGGAAACAATCATTTGTTACAATGATAAACTGAGGAACAGTTTGTAACATTGTCACTTCCGCAATCTTGAACCCAGAACAGCCGACTCGTCTGGTGAAAAAGGATACCTCCGCTCAGACGGCGAGTAAACCGCAGGATTTCTAATCAAGATTACCGTTCGTTTACTCGTGTAAGTACTGGGGGTAAATTGCTCGAACGCAACCAGTCAACGTTCATCATGCTCAGGATCAACCAATCCAATGCGAGCCGGCCATGTCACTGACCAATCAGTGTCTCTCATCTCCGTGGAGTGCTAACCTTGCTGGAAACCAGGAGCGCTACGACGCCAGTTTCATTCCAGACGCTGCGCTGTGGTAACGCGTTGATATCTGCGGAGAATGCGATGGTCCGATACAAAATCAGTGTATAAGCGTTGATTCGATGCAAAGAAGCTAGCAAGTTCAAAGCTGATTATGGAACAGAGTGAACTGAGTTGGTCTTTATGACTTGAAAAATTACACATATCTCTACATGTGATTTAAAAAAAACACAGGTTTATTGCCCTTGGTTTGTTTATTCCGGAAAATCAAATAATTCAATTCATCGCGCCTCGTCGGATTTCCAGTGATGGAGACAATGAATGTCGGCCACAGAGCTTTTGAGCTGATGATATATTTGGGCGCGGTCATTTGTGTCACTGTCACTGGATATCAATGTCATCCACGCCAACAAATCATGTACGCCGCGAAAAATCGTGCACTGCGAGGGTTCGTATATGCAAACAAAACTGTGCGATCTCGTGTCATCTGCGGACGGGAATGCAGCATGGATGAACGTTGCAAGTCGTTTAACTTTAATAACTGCAATCAAATGTGCGAGTTGAACCTTGCCACAAGACGAGAGCATCCCGAAGACTTCAATGCAACTCAAGGGAGTGTGTACTTTGATGCAGATGAGAACACACCTCTCTACTCACTGACTGATAGATCCTTGGAGCGCTACAGAAGTTGCAAGATGCTCTTAGATGCCTGTTTTCGTTCAAGCGGTATCTACACAGTCTACCCAGAGGGATTCGGTAATGGTGGTCTTCGTGTCTACTGTGACATGGAAACTGACGGCGGAGGATGGATCGTGTTTCAGAGGCGTCAAGATGGCAGCGCGGACTTCAACCGTTACTGGACTGAGTACCAGTCTGGCTTTGGCGATCTGTCCGGTGAGTTCTGGTTAGGCAACGATAATTTGGTAACTCTGACGTCTAGTGATTCACGTGGAACATGGGAGCTACGCGTTGATTTAGAGGACTGGGAGAACAACACGGCATGGGCAAAGTACTCAGATTTCCAAATATTCCCGGGTGAGTACAATCTGATCATCGGTCAATACGATGCCAGCAGCACTGCCGGTGACTCTCTGGGGGTTAGTAGAGGACGTCCCTTCGCAACAAGGGATCGGGAAAATGATGCGTCGGAGTTAAGAAATTGTGCAAGATATTACAAAGGAGGCTGGTGGTTTAATAATTGTTATCTTGCTCACTTGAATGGTCGACATTTCCCTTCTGGGTATGTGCGATATGCCAAGGGCGTGCAGTGGCATACATGGAAAACGGAGTTTTATTCTCTGAAAACATGTAGTATGAAAATACGTGAATAGGTTCCATGGATAGTTAATTAAATGCAAACTTATTGAAGTTGGCAATTGGAAATCCAATATAAATGGATGCTTTTACCCACGAGAGGTGATCTCACGTGGGGGGGGGGGACAGTTCGTGTGACTTCCCAAATGACGTAGCGACCTGGATGGGCGTTTGAGTGTTCTGCCCCCCCCCCCATAAAAAAAGGGGAGAAAAAACGAATGCAAACGACAAAATCTTATAATTATTTGGTGTTTAATAATTATTGTATTGAATGTTTGAAAATGAAACAATGGAAACTGTTTTAAAGGTACCGGTGTCTGCCAAAAACTGTCCGTTGCCAAACACTGAGACTCTGAATGGCAGCACTGTGTTAGAACCATGGTACTGCTGTTGTTAAACCGGGTTGCAAATTGCGGGGTGTGGCACCTATATCTTATCGATGAAATTCGTCTTGTGCAATATTAATTGGATTGATACATTATGAAATTGTTAATAGTTTATTTTATTCTTTTTTTGTTTACGGTTTATTTAAAAAATGACTGGGTGTATAAGTTGACAGTGGTGGAATTGGAATCTAGGATAACATCGTTAGGTGAAAATAAGACTTTCAATGCAGATTGGGAAAAATGACATAATCAATTTACATGCGACGTTTGGTTTAACTTTAATTCAAATTAAGGTTTTTTTCAAATAATTCAACCACCAATATTCAGTTAAACTAAGCATTGAATGCTTTTCAGCTAACCAACAAAGCCACCATGGTTACGGAGATTTGCTCTTTCAGCCATTGTACAAAGTGCAAGGCTTCGCCTCTGCACTGAAACTTATACAGTGCGTCCTGAAGAAATGGTGCATGTAAACCTCTCCGTTTTTGCTAATTTATAACCAAAATTTTCTGCAGATTTTCACATCATCTTCAAGGTAATAGATTTAGCTTGAGAATACCGTTTGTTTCATTGAGATTGCTTTTGTAAATCGAAAAGATATGTTTGAATGACGGCAAAGCCAAGAAATCCATTTTGTGCCATTTTCTGTGAAGCAGTTCAAATCATAGTCCTAGTCTAAAACCAAATCACTTTACTGTTAATGATTTTAACATTTTTAAAGAAGTGAACCTGCCTGAACTATTAAATTGTTTCAACATAAGAACAAAACCCTATAATTGTCATGTGAATGGAATGTTTGTCTTACGTCCTAAGGGATAATCTTTTCAAAAGAGCCATACTGGCATTGTCTGTTCTTTGAAGCACTCGCTTCCTAAAAGTGGCACGGAATGGGCTTTTGGCTTTGCGGTTATTCAAACATATCTTTGGATTTACAAAAGCAATCTTAATTAAACAAACGGTATTCTCAAGCTAAATCTGTAACCGTGAAGATCGTGTAAACATTTGCAGTAAATTTTGGTTGCAAATTGGCGAAAATGACGGGGTTTACATGCACCATTATTTTCGGGACCTCCTGTACATGATACAAAAGGCGATAACTGAACATGTCACACGACTTAGGGTAATTAATACGCTCTTTTTGTATTTTCGGTACTAGCTTAGAAATATGAAATAACTTAGATTTAATTTACCTTGATTGACAGTTGCACATTATGGAGTTTAAACCTACACGGAGCAGAAAATCGATTATTTTGGATGGATCTAAACGTATTTATTTTGCTTTTTTGCTTGTTAATTGAAATTTAAAAATTAGTACGTGTACATATAACTTTGAATAACCTAAGTGATAAGAACCAAACCATTATTGACTAGTCACTCAGTTTGCTGTTAACTATTTTGCTTGTATATTGTAGCTTAAAAGAAAAAGGTTTCAATGACCTATGACGTTGAATAAACCGAGTGTTAAGAACCAATTGATTATTGAGTTTCCCCGGTCTATTATTAAACGTTTGCTGTTTGTACAATTGTGATTCTAGTACTGTGTTTAGCTGTCATGATGTAGGGCGACTTGGGCCGTGTTTCAAAACAAGTATGCCGAGTATAAAATGAAAGGTTTGCAGAAACACCATGTGCGAATGATTTCTCAGCTAAGAGAATGGTTCTGAAAAGAACCAGAGGTATAAACTCGACGTTCCGGTCAGTATGCTCTGACCATCTTCAGGAGAGACAGACGCTCAGAGCATACTGACCGGAACGTCGAGTTTATACCTCTGGTTCTTTTTAGAACCATTCTCTTAGTTGAGAAATTATTCGCACATGGTGTTTCCGCAAACCTTTCATTATTAAGTATCTCCACCATGCAAAGCCTCAAATCTTACTTATGTCAAGTATCTGCAACCTCTTCTACTGGCCATCACTTCAATTTCGATTTGGACTCTGACTGATTGCCACAAGTATCCGTTAGTTGTTAACAGCGGTTATTTGTTATTTAAAATGTGTTACTTATTTAGAAAGAAAATATTTAATATCATAGCAAAAACCTATAACTGGACTGAGACGTGAAGAAGTCATAATTAAGTTATATTTAACACCCCTAATATAAATATCAGCCATCTACTTCCATTTGCGTAGCTTGGTTGGGGTTGGGTGCCGCAGGGGGGACGTTTAAAGAGCAGCACACAATGTATACACATTACTGAGGACGATCTCATCCATTCAGGGGAACAGTGGACACCCAATCTATAGAGGGCAGCACACAATGTCACATTACCGAGAGTGATCCCATCCATTCAGGGGAACAGAGGACATCCAATCTATAGAGGGCAGCACACAATGTCACGTTACCAAGAACCATCCCATGCATTCAGGGGAACAGAGGACATTCAATCTATAGAGGGCGCCGAACAATGCGTAAATACATTTCACTTAAAACCCTCCCATCCATTCATATCATGAGAACAGAGGTCATCAAATGTATACAGGGCGGGACACAATGCATACATTTCACTGGGAACTCATCCCATCCATGCAGGGGAACATTGGACATCCAACTTATAGAGGGCAGCACACAATGTTTACATGTATTTCACCGAGAACCATCACACTCATTCAGAGGAAGATGGCAGCACACAATGTGTGCATTTTATCGAGAACCATTCCATCCATTCAGGACAACAGCGGACATCCAATCTATAGAGGGCGGCATACAATGTGCACAGTTTACCGAGGACCATCCGTCCATTCAGCCATATGCGCTTTATCACGTCCAAACTTGTTTTCAGGTGCAACTCTGCATTAAACTTCCCATATACACCCCAAGTCTGGGCCAGAGGTTCATTGCCATATTTTTTCAATTCTCTAACGTTATGGCTCTTAGAACTCTCTAATATAGAATATTTTGAGGGTATAACTTTTATTCATGAGCTCGGCGAATGGATTTAGGCCTATTTCCGGTGTGCACGCTTTAATAAGCCCAAAGGTTTGAAATGCCCCCCCCCCCCCCAAAAAAAAAAACCCACACATTTAGGGCAAAGATGAAGTATTAGATTTAAAGTCCCTCAAAAAAATTGAAAGAAAAAACTATTCAAGGTCAAATTAGGCCTAAATATAGTGCCGCTTTTTGCACCTGCTAGCTTTAGAGCGCCCTCAACCACCGAAAATAGAGTTTCAGCTACTTTGAAGCTCAGAATGCCCCCCCCCCCTTCGGCAAATGGCGGACGGCTCCCAAACGATTTAGGAGCATCTGTTTCGGAACAGCCCTTATTGATACCTTTAACATTCTATTGCACCCCTCCACATAGATTCCGCCCACTGAAAACCCACTGCCGCTGCATAGCGCATGCGCAGAGCGGCCATTTTTATAATATTCTATAGAGTGCGACTCGGCATTAAAATTCCCATAGGCACTAGTGCTGAATGCCCATACTTTAAAATTCTTTTTAAAAATACTCAAAACTCTCACAAGTATTTAACCTGCACATAAAAATGATGATTAACATGACATCTGTCATTTTTTTTTCATTTTTTGGTGGATTGACCGTTGACTTTCCAAGAAATTCTCGCCTAAAGACGACCCCTATTTTCCCCAAAGCGGAACGGTAGCCATCTTGAAAAACGATTCCTCCACAACATGGCAAAATAGCGCCACTTTCGATCCCAATTGCATCCAAAATGCTCAGAATTGGAAGCCCCAAGTCCGGGCCAGAGGTTCATGTTGCCATATCCCTTCAATTCCCCAATGTAATGACCCTCAGAACTCTCTAATATAGAATATTTTGAGGGTATAATTATTATGCATGACCTCGGTCGGTGGATTTTGGCCTATTCACCGGTGTGCACCCTTCACATTCAGCTTACAGAGGGCAGCACGCACATAAACAAGGCGTGATAATAAACTTTTGGATGCAGCACTGTTACAGATAATCGTATCAATGATAATGGTATCTTTTTGCAAGACACCAAGGTTCTCTGAATCCTTTTCCCTGAAGGTACAATCTAAAATATAAATTTACAGAGAAAAATAGCCCACAAAAATATGGGTATCGAAAAGTTCAAATTCAGGGATCTATAACGATCTGGGTTGTTCTCATTATTCGTTCACGACAGCTTTTCTTTAATATGCTTTACTGTAACTATATTGACTTAATGAAAATTCAATGCTGCGAAGTTGGTAATCTTTTCTCATGCATAAACATAATTTTCCAGTGAAATTACTGAATTATTCATCACATTTGTATTGCTTTATCGGCCTAAGGAACACAAAATCCCGCGCGGACAGACGTCTCACCTGCGAAGCCTCGTTTTGTAATAAAAAAAAAAACAGTAGTGATACTCTGCATGCAGTGTTCGATTGTTATTCATAAAAGCATTCAATTTAGTCGGTTGGACATGGAGTGATGGCCAATGAAGCGAAGAAGGAGGAGAATGGAGGTATATGCTATTTAACGACCCACCCGTTTATTAGCCGGAGGCAAATCAAAGAAGTGTATTGATCGAGTTATAATGAAAAAAACGTACTTAGGCTGGATCAACGTGGATGAGCCAATTCCACACAATCACCATTGTTGCGTTACTGTGGAAACTGTATGACGACAAGAGGCTATTTTGCAGACATTAGGCTCATTGTATCAGGGAGTGGTGCTGTTCCCGTCTTGACACGGATTCCAAAGTAAGGAACTGCTGGCTGGAAAAAAAAACCCCGCGTAAAATGTTGGAGTTAGTTTTAGCTCTTGGGTTTGTTAGTTCCCTCCCTTTGCTACCCGTGCGAGGGAAGATGTGTAGCGCTATGATCAAGGCTGCACCCGGTGATGATCTGACCACGCTTCGTGACAAGGCTTTGGCGGCTTTCAGAACCGAATGCCGAGGTAAACAACGCAATCTCGACGACATCAAATGTAAGTAATTCTAAAACACTCCGTTACAATTGCAGTTCCAAGCGTGGGTAAAGTATGTTGACTTAAAGGGAAAAACTAAAAATGATGGGGTTTCTAGCATGTTTGTATATAACAAAATGAGAGCCATGGTTGGCACTAAAAACGTTCATTGGGAGAATCTATGTAAATGTATGAAAACAAAGGAGTCGTCACTCTGATGTCACTATAATGCATTTGTGTAATTTGTGCCCTCTTTTCAGATTAGTTTGACTATTTCTAGAGATATTTTAAACTCTTCTGTTTGTCTACACTTCGTCAAATTCAATAGCAAAATAGCAGTGCCATCATATGTATATATGTTTAAGTTAAGGATCTTTAATGTGTTAGGCAACATTCATTCTATATCGTCATGCCTTTAGTATTATTAAGTTCAAGGCAAAACAATTCATTAATTTTATATATAAATCGTTCTACAGTTAGTTGTCAATTTGAACTGATGAGTAAGAGCCTACATTGGATTGCCCGTCCAATAGCGCCCCCAACTGTCAGAATACACAACGATATAATGGTATTTACATGTATATATGTATTACACACCCATCAACAGTAGATCTATACAATCCCCTTTGGTAGCCCTGTGTTATATTGGTGATCTATCAGCTCATTTACGTGTAGCCTACAATAATTGTCTTATTAATATCATTCGGTTTTCACTGTTTATTTCCGTATTACTTGGGGTTCACTTAGCTTGCTCATTCACAACGGACCCGTCCACGCCTCCAATTGCCACGTTCATCTTGCAGCCGATGAGGGCGCCTTTCCGGTTGGACTTGGACGTAAAAACCCCACGCAGTGCCAATGTAGTCTTGGCGGAGGAAAAGACAGAAGTATCCGTCTTTGCCTGGATAAGTGAGTGCTCCAAACTGTTATTTATTCATTTCAATTTTTACGGGCTACAAAATGTACTAAAGTAACAAACAAAGAGAATAATTGAGTGATTGTTGTAGGAGATACAGTCAACATTTCCTTTAAATTTTGAAGGATTTGATTTGTATACGGTTCGCCCCTTTAATTCACTGATGCCCATAAATGTTATGTTATGGAGTCCGAGAAGGGACAGTAACAGTAAAATGTTTATTTTGTGTTCACAAGATAATATTTTGTGTAATTATTGTATTTAGTAGGATAGGGTATTGCGGTAAATCGTGGGAGGTATATTCTGTTTGGAAAAATCGCTTGAACCTCTCTATGGGCTCTATATAAAATATATGAATTGGTTTACAAAACGCACGGCTTCGTCTTTGTCTCCATCCCAAGATTCGATCGCTACCATCCTGCTACGTTCCAACTCAATAAAAACTCACCAAGCATTGTCAGTTGGAAAAGAAAATGAGTCAATTGTTCACCTAGTCTTCCGACTCAGGGGACAAGTTGCTAGAGCTCAATTAAGCTATACACAAAGACAAAGCTTTGTAAACCTTAGAATTAAATCGAAACTGTTTCAATGATATCAACAGCCTTAGGTGGCTGGAGCGGAAAAAGGTCGGTCATCCGAGCCTGTTTCGGTTGTCAAGAGTTGTTGGATGGGCGTTCAGTGGACAACGAGGAAGGTATCGTCAGTGGCACTGAAAGTCGCCCCTTCTGGATCGAGTACAAACACGGCGTGGTGACCGTCGGCAAAGGAAGACAGGAGGAGGCTTTCTTGGAGTGGGACGCCGCTGCGTATCATCATCGCAACATATCAACACCGGTATACGTTGGTATAAGTTCGTGGAAAGGGGAATCTGTGGACTGGGTGTTCCACCATTTCTGTGCCTAAGAAAACAAAAGCAACGTGTGCATGAGAATGCTTTAATAATGAGGTTCAAAAAGTATGACATTTTACAAAATATATTTCAATATAGATTGTAGAAAATGTTATTTTAAGTTAAGCACCCACAAATTCAATCTGTTTGTAGGCCTATGGCGCCCTCATTCGTTCATCACATGGCCTCATAGACCTTTCTTTTGTTTGTAAACATTGACACCATTTTATATGGGCTGCCGGAAGCGCATGAATTGAAGCCAGGGTTGACCATTACTTTTTGCTAGAAAACGTCCTCATAAGGCCTTCAATAGTCAAAAGGCATGTGTAGAAATGATGTATGTTTGTTGTATTTCAAATTCTCAAATAATATTTGGGTTGTCTGTAATAACTCTTCTTCATTTTTGCAGTGTTGGCCTTCCATTGTTTTGCAACCCATGCAGCTTGCCAACCAAGCGTAGAAAGGTATATAGACGACTGAAAACGTCACAGATTTTTTTTTCTCACACGTGTGCTTATGGGAGCCAAGTGTGAAAGTACATAAATTGGACGTGGGGTATATCGTTGTGCAATAAGAGCTCGATTGTTTTCCATTCATGCCTAAAGTATCAACAAGTCTTTGCAAACGTTGCACTTTTGTCACTTTGGTAGTTATAAAGCATGTTCTATGAACTATCGTCGAGTAAGTGTAAATTATCATTCTGCCCGTTCAGTTGAAAAAAGCATTTCTATTGAGCGCAGTAAGTCGGAGTCCTTTCAATACAAGGAGCAGACATAATATTTGCAGAACTGTCCCTCAAAAATAACATCCGTCATTAAAATCGCTGGGAGTAAAACAATATAAAGAGAAATGTAGGATGAAAATGTAGGATGGCCTTTTTTTATCCAACTGGTCGTTAAAAATGCTTTGAAAAATATAAATGACATCTGCTTATTTACAGTATAACGCTATTCAGGGAGCAAAAAACTGGATTACTAAAGGGGAGCTGAACGTGTATTTTGTTCTTTTGCTTGACTATATTGCAATCATATTTAAATCAAAAATGACCTATGGTGGTGAGCGATAAGAACCAAACAAATTATTGATATTTATCACTTAGTTTGCTGCCTGTTGTTTTGCTTATATATTACGTCACAAAACAAAAAGGTTCAATGACCTATGACGTTGAATAAACCGAGTGACAAGAACCAATACCTGATTGAGTTTTCCCGATTTATTAATTGCCGCCATTTCAACCTCGATCGTACGATTTTGGCCGTTGAATCCGATCTAGTTTTCCCACCATTGCTTGTTTGCCTAAATGAATAAATATCTAAGCTCCGAGCAAACAAAATTGTGCATACAAAAATAATTATGCATTAACAAACCACAGAAACCACTAAAATGGAAATACCTACATATACAGTGAAATGAACGGTTCTCATCGATAGAGGGCAGTATATGCATTGCTCACCGTCATGCAATACACAATCATTCGCTCGTACCCACCGCCGTGCAAACAGGGCGCTGGGATATGCTGATGAGCTTCACAAAATCTTGTGAAGAAAGTGACCTATAACCTGTATATAAAGCATCTGGCTGCAGCTGTTTAAGACCGCAGTTAGCCAATGCGCGCAAATGCTATCCGAAAACTTTCCCGTAGAAATGCTCGCATTCCATACCGGATGTGATTTCTGTTTCATTGCGAACCATGTGGACAAATTTTCAGCGTCGCAATATATGCAACCTGACCCATCATGAATTCGAAACAGAGCCTGAGCAAGTGACGAGAATTGAAAATTTATAAAACAGAAACGTTTTACAGATTTTCCTACATTACGCTTTTCAACGAAATAAAGCATTTATGAATGGGAATAAAAGATTGATCTTAACGGCCGTTTCAAACCTTGCCGAGTCGTGGCCGTGATGACTTGCAGGTCACAGGTCATGCAAAATCTATCCAATCAGAGCGTGAATTCATCAGTGTATCCCAGGGTTCTGTTCGCAGGGCAGGGCAGAGGGGGTATGAGCGAATATACAATCACTGTCACTTACCTTATAGCGTCAATTCTATAGAGGGCAGCATACGCATCAACAAGGCGTGATAAGCGTTGGCGGCAGCAATGTGACGGAGAACGTCATAATAAAGTATCGATTCTTTGTTCGAACTCACCAGAACAACCGACGCTAAACAACCCTTTTATTTGGCATCGCTGGTTATTTGTTTGCACTCTCTTGCAATTGACAAATTATCTAGGTGACCTTCGAATGAGAGTAGGCCTACGTTAACCTTGCCAACCAAAAACTGATGGACGACTTCACAATGATAATAAGAAAGAGAAAATGTACACAGAACTCAATTAACCAGGTTCTGTAATTACTAAATTACACAATTACATAGACAAACTGCACAAACAACAAAACATACAGACGTACGGAAAGATCAACAGACTATAATTAGTCAGCAAACAAACCATCAGGAAACAGACGAAGAAAACATAACGGTCAGGACCACGCCCAAAAAAATATACGGGAAAAAAGTCCAACTAGCCTGAGAATCGAACAGCCTATATAAATTGACTCCAATTTTAAACACAAATAAAATAACAAACAACACAAGGATGGCAGCCAATATGGCCGCCAAAATGGTTAAAACACTTTCGAAATAAGTCATATATCAGCCAAATAGTGTGATAAAAGCATCAAAAACATTGTTAGTTGTATTTTTAACCCTCACGAATTTATTTCTGTATCCCTTTTTGCTATCATGCTATAAATGCATGATGTCGGCCAGGATGGCCGCCAATGTGGCCGCCAAAATGGTAAAAAATATCGAAATAAGTCATATATCAGCCAAATAATGTGTTAAAAGCATCAGAAAAATGTTTATTTGATTTTTATCCTCCCAATTTCATTTCTTGTATCATGCTTTAAATTAAATATAATTGAATTTAATTTTACAAGCGAAAAGAAAGATTACACTGCACCAAATGCTTCCCGAAACAGATTTTTTTAAGCCAGATTCAAATGTACTAAGATTCTCAGCTTCCCTGGGGTTGATGCAGCTTGTTCCAGAGCAGTGGGCCAACGGCACAAAACATTGCTGAAGTTTGTGACATTTTATTGCATTTAATGTTACATCCTCGGGCAATTTTCGAGTTTTACCTTGTCAAATAAATTTTATCTTTTGAATGAGATATCGACAGAAAAAATCTGATTGAGTTCATTTATTGAATTAATGCTGCACAATCCTGACTTAATAGTAGCAGCCTGACCATAATTCCATTCTCACGAGGGAGGCTGGTCCCCGCCTCGCATCCAGTACCGATGATGTACGGACTGGGAACGGGACCGATTTGCAGGGGGATTTTGTTTGTGGCAACCCTCCCCATCCATGCCCCCAACCTTCCCCCGCCCCCATTTTTGGAGGGTTTAATACAGACGTCCAGAAAGAGATAGAGAGAGAGGGGGGGGGGAGAGAGGGGGATACCAGTTTTGGGTTGTAAGATGACCTCTTGTATTTTTTTAATGTATTAATAGACAAAAAAAGGATTGTTTTTGTAATTTGCTGTACATAACGACATATTGTGCAGTTTGCAGTCTTCATAACAAATGACACCAATTAGCGCTTGCTACTATTCTTTACTTGTCAAGCGCTCGTGAGCTTCGCAGTGGAAGGGTGATTGATGAAACCATTTTCATTATTGTCTTCTTTTCATCGTAACACATATGTCTTCTGAAAAGAAGACGAAGCAGACGCAAAATGGCTGTATTTCTTTGTGTGTATTTCCTGAATCTATAGGTTAAATGATAGCAGCGCATTTCTTATGTGCCATTGAAAAACGACTTATTTACCCTCCAGCGACACTGAGGTTTTTCCTCCGTCGGAGTGTTTTCTAGACACTGGGAATCCCATGTATCCTTGCTTTCAGTTTTGGATTGTTTCTTATATTCGTGACAATCTAATGTTGACACTCGTCTGATTGTTGAATCCGTTAAGCCTATCAAGACCAGGTATATTTATTTGTATTAATGTTTGTTTTAATGGGGTTTTTTAAATTTATGTTAAAATATGGACGGTACCGTACCTTTTAGCAGACACAGTGAGGGAAAATATGCAAGTTTTGGAAAACGTGAATATTTATTGCACTCATTAAAAGTACCGAAAGACACAATATTATTTTATCGTCCTTGTTATACAACTCGGCAGAAAATCCTTAATGCCTGGTGAACTGGACAAAAACAAAAAGACACGTGAAGGTGTTTTGGCAACGCAAAAAGAGAATATTCCTGTGCAAAAAGACTAAAAGACGTCTGTTTCTGACGACTAAAAGACGTCTTTTTGACGTTAAATTATGACGTCTTATTTGGGTCTTATTTTGCTCGTATATAATGCAAAACCAAACGACGTCTTTTTCTGACGACACAGAGACGTCTTTTTGTGACAACTAAACGACGTCTTTTCTGACGACTAAACAACGTACTTTAGTCGAACTATGGCTTACTATTGTTCGCGCCCGAACTTGCTCATGTGTTGAGTGTTTCTATTTCGACATTAATCCATCACAATTATGCGCCAAAATTTAACGTGATCGAATTTGTCTTCTTGGAGAAGGGCATTATCAATGTCTGTGCTGCCCTCTTTAGGCTGGACGCAAGCTTTGACTGTGATTATTTGGTGCATGGCTGAATGGATAGGAGGTCCTCTGACACTACTTTTTTGTGTGCATTGTTTGCTGCCCTCTACAGATTGGATGTCCGCTGTTCCCCTGAATGGATGGATAGTTATCTGTTACTGTACACATTGTGTGCTGCCCTCTATAAATTGGATGTTCGCTGAAAGTTCCCCTGAATGGATGGGATGGTACACTGTGTGCTGCCCTCTATAGATTGGATGCCCGCTGTTCCCCTCAGTGGATGGGATGGTTCCCGGTAATATGTAAAGTATGTGCCGCCCTCTATAGATTGGATGTTTGTTTTTCGCCTCGCCATGCAAGCATGATAATTGTCGCGGTTTCGAAATCCAAGAAAATGCAGAAAAAGGGCCAAAATGAATTCCGAGGATTCTGAATCGAGATCTACACATAATCTATTAGCCTATTTGAGTTATTGCAGACACAAAAGTAGGGCGCTGTTTGATTTGGGTAAACTCTTTTGTATTTACCCAAAGCAAATAGCGCCCTCCTATTGTGCCCGCCATATCTGAAGTAGGCTAAAGTAACTTTTTCAGGTTCCTTAACCAGTAATGGGTTTTGATTGGGGTTTAAATGTTTCGTTAAAGGGGTGACGTTTCAAAGATTGTTGAATGATTCTCAACAAAGTTCGGAATGATCAGGGCTGGAAATTAGTTACTGTTTTAGGATTCAAATCAAAGTTGAAGTGGCGGCATCAGAGGCGGATCTAGCTACGAGTAATCTTGGGAGGAGGGGGGTCGGGTGATATCAAGGGGGTTGAGTGAGGGAATTCCAAACGTCGTGCCCCCATAGGTGGGGCCTGGGGGCATCCCCCGTAAAAGACTTTTGGAGAATGAATTAGGAACGTTAGCATTCCAATTATAATTTTTGGCTCAATTTTACTAGTTTTATGACCTTAGTCAGCGGATGAACCCCCCCCCCCCTACATCCGCCACCGGGGCTGTATGGAAAGGTAGACATAGCCTACTTGTTTTGAAGCATAGTTCCAGTTGCCCTACAGCTGCTATAAAACACAGTACTAAAATCACATTCTTGCAAACAAGTAACTAAATAAATCAGGAAAAATCAATCATGAATTGGTTCTTGTCACTCGGTTTATTCAACGTCATAGGTCATTGGAACCATTTTTTGTGCCGCAATATACAAGCAAAATAGCAAACAGCAAACTGAGTGATAAGAATCAATAATGGTTTAGTTCTTATCACTCAGCTTAATAAAATGTCATAGGTCATTATTTATATCATGCAATGTACAGGCAAAAAAGTGAGAAAAAAAAACGCTTTCAGATCCAAACAAATATAGTCTTTTTTTCTGCTCCTTGTATCGTTATACTCCAGATGAGCACTTGTCATTCAAGGTAAATTAAATTTGAGTTATTTATTTTTCTCAAAATTGATCTTCAAAATTAGACAGTGCATGCGTTGCATTATGTGGCATGTTCAGTTTTAGATTAAGTAATGACAAATATGGGATATCTACCTGTTCATTTCATGTTAACAGTCGGTTTTTTAAATTTATATTTACATCTGTTACGCGCATCGACAAAACCACATTGTAAACAGCTGAAATCTCCGTAACTACGATGACTTTGCGGATTAGTAGAAAAGCCTTTCACCCGTGACCAAAGTTTTGAATTGATAATATTGTTCTACTACATTTATTTGATGAAATGTTTAACTTGTACAATATGTGTGTTTTTTTTCTATTGATTATTATTTTGTTGGGAGGGGTTAGGGGGTTGTTGTTTTGAAATGAAAAAAAAGGCCGCTGTCGTTACCAAGCAGTAGCGCAGAGAGTAACTCTTCAGGGTCGCGTTTTCCAAAGTTCATAAAGGGGGAGGGGGTGATTGGACGTTATTTGCCATTTTTGGGCGCAGTTGATTATACATTTTGTCTATATATAATTGTACATGTACAATGTATGTGTTATAATACAGTCTCGTAGCAGCATAAAAGGAACCTGCCAAATACTTTCTATTGTTACATTTTCTACACTAAATAAAGCCAAACTGCCGTTTCAGTTTTCTTTTTTCTCTATTTTTTTATGGGCGTGGAGGTGGAAGAACAGCACTCGAACACCCATTCCGATCGCTACGTCATTGGGGAAGTTCCCGTGGCCCCTCCCACTCCCAGTATCCATAGGCAAAAATGTTCATTTTATATGTTAAATTTAAGACTAGTGCCGTGTTTGCAACTTATACAATATTCACGGTCCCAATTCACGCATTTTCATGCTGCACTTTTTCAGAGAATAGTTATACCCTTTCCATCTCTCCCATTGCACGCCCTCGGCACGTCCTACTTGCCCTTGTGGGTAATATGGACCATTCAAGTGAGAGATAAAACAGCGATTAAACCACCAGGCTCCTGTGTTTTTTTGTGCACAACTATGATTTACCGCGTCATTGTCACGATCCTTTGTTGAGAAGGGTTGTCCTCTGTGAAACCTGTCGGCAGCATAATCGCGGTTATACCCAAGAGAGTCACCGGCAGTGCTGCTGGTATCGTATTGGCCAATAGTCAGATTGTATTCACCCGGGGATATTTGGAAATCTGAGTACTTTGCCCATGCCGTGTTGTTCTCCCAGTCCCCTAAATCAACGCGTAGCTCCCATGTTCCACGTGAATCATCAGACGTCAGAGTTACCAAATTATCGTTGCCTAACCAGAACTCACCAGACAGATCGCCAAAGCCAGACTGGTACTCGGTCCAGTTACGGTAGAAGTCCACACTGCCATCTTGTCGCCTCTGAAACACGATCCATCCCCCGCCGTCAGTTTCCATGTCACAGTAGACACGAAGACCGCCATTACCGAATCCCTCTGGGTAGACTGTGTAGATACCGCTTGAACGAAAACAGGCATCGAAGAGCATCTTGCAACTTTTGTAGCGATTGAATGAGCTATCAGTCAGTGAGCAGAGAGATGTGTCCTCATCTGCATCAAAGTACACACTCCCTTGAGTTGCATTGAAGTATTCGGGATGCTCTCGTCTTGTGGCAAGGTTCGTCTCGCACATTTTACTGTAGTCGTTAAAGTTAAACGACTTGCAACGTTCATCCATGCCGCATTTCACTCCGCAAATGGCACGAGATCGCACAGTTTTGGTTGCATATGCTAACCCTTGTAATGCGCGATTTTCTGCAGCGTACATGAGTTGTTGCCGTGTATGAAATTGATGTCCACTGACTAAAATGACCACCTCCAAAAGTACCATTAGATTACAAACTTTGAGACCGGCGTACAGTTTTGCCATTGTAGAAGAATCTGATCAAGCGTGATGTTATTGAAATGTTCACAATGATTAACTTTAGCCTCGATTTAGAGCGTCAGTAGATAAAGATACAAGTTGATAAAAATACAGCCGGATATGAATTATGAATCGCTTTCAAGATCAAAACCGACGAATCCTCGAAATTACTGCATTGTCTTAATCTGTTAATCTTATGAGTTCGATGATAGGTTTCACGTCAGAACACGCAGTCCAACTTATCCCGTACAATCAGCTTAGATCTGCTAACGTCGATCAGATCATCGCTAACACTGCAGAGATCAACGCGTTACCACAGCGCAGCGTCTGGAATGAAACTGGCGTCGTAGCGCACCTGCTTTCCAGCAAGGATACAATTCTACGGAGATGAGAGGCAGTGATTGGTCAGTTAAGTGAATATTAATTAACAGCTCGCACTGGATTGTTCATTATCACTTACCAATGTCATGTGGACCATTAATGAAATCATAGAGAAATACACGTGTAGCTCCGCCCATGATGACGTCAAGATGGGATTGGCCAATGAACCTATTTCCTAGGGACGAAGCTGACTCTCACTTGGATAATACGTACGGCCAAGATTCCAGCACGCTCAAAAGTAACAATCCCCCCATAGGCGTAGCCAGCGGGGGGTAAGGGGGGGTATTTACCCCCTCCCATATATTTTGTAAAGACTGCTTTTTTTTCAATTCAATTGCCCTTTTCTTTCAACGGGCTTACCCCCCCCCCCCCCAATAACTTGTAAAGAGTGCCTTTTTTACGCAGTGCCCTTTTTTCTGAACAAGTGCCCTTTTAAAAAAAGAAATGGTGCCCTTTTTGTGTCATCTGCCGTTTTGGGTGCCTTTTTCAGAATTTTGCACATGTATCGCCCTGAAAAGCACCATAAATTGGCCCTTTGTGTGCATAATTGTCGGTTTTTGAACAGCGCCCCCATCGACAGATGGTCCCCCCCCCCACCCCGCTTGTTGATTTTACTGAGGCCAAGTGTCCGGAGAGAAAAACCTGCCTACATTTCACCACGGATGTGCAAGTGCCCTTTTCAAAAAATTTTACCCCCCCCCCCCAATAAAATGACCGTGCTACGATTATATTCTTCGTCTCCTTTACATTTATCTACCGATTTGGTGGAGGCATTAATTTTATCATTGTGAGAGGGGTAGTTGTGTTGTTAAGGGGTAGTTTTCCATCTCGAGAAGGTGCACAATTTTGTAAATGCGAGAGAGGTACTTGTGTTTTTGAGGGGCAGTTTTGCATTATACAAGAGAGGAGACAATTTTATTTGTGGTGCAATCACAATGCTTTTATACCTGTGCGTTTGATGGGCAGTTTTGTTTTCATCTGGAAAGGGCACATTTATAACAGCGAGAGCGGCATTTTTGATGGCTTTGGAAAATGGGGCGGGGGGGGGGCGGGGTACTCTCTCCTGCCCCCTGCCCCACCCCCCCCCCCCCCCCCCCCCCCCCCAATTCCGCAGCCCTCACTCTTGCAGACAACGCAATATTGATAGATGAAACGTAATTTCTGTTCATTCGGAAAGCGGTTCATTTTGAAAAAAGGGGGAAACAGGCTTAATGGTTTCATTTCTTCGTGTAACTTATATTCTTCAATTATGGTATTGAGATGCTCGTAACAATCTTACAAAAGCCTTTTCCGAGGATAGTTTTCTTAAGAAATCAATAAACCAAAAAAATAGCAATTTCATAATTTGGGCACTTTAATTTTCCTATTGAAGGGGTCAAGAAGCGCGCCACCAAGGGTTGAACTTTCCGGTTCTATTGTCAGTTACTTTGGAAATACTTAGAGACAGTTTGACTGTACTAAAATATTAACAGGTTTTTTTTTTCAGAACCACACATTCTATAAACAAATACTCAGGCACACTTGTACCACAGATTCTATAAGTATCAAACATCAGAAAGTTTAAATACATTTGTTGTTACTGCTTCAGTCATTCTAAGGACAAATATTGCATTTCTGGTCTTAAAAGCAAAGAAAAGCAAATCATGTTGTCACGTTGATTAAACTTGGAGGCCTATGTGAAACCCAAAACTCATAACTAATGCGCCAAACAGATAAAAGCTAGGTTGAGTTGTGTTAAATATGTATTTGTTGTTATTTATCTCACGAAAGCAAAACATTAGAATGACCTTCACAATGGGGTACATTTAGCAGTATAGTTGATGTGCCTGGAATGGACTTTTTTACACGACGCTCACTGCCATTCTTTGTAGTCATACACGTACGTACTTATCATAAAATGATCACCATTCGGTGTATATACACCATGACAACAATATGATATACTGTCATGACAACAATATCGGCACACTAGCTGAATTATTCAGTCACCTTCGGAATCATAATGTTTGCAACTCTCACACAAGGGGTAATTTCGTTTGAAGTATCTGTTAAATAATCTATTATTCTGCTCGTGCGCAATTTATTATAGGGTTTAGTACACAATGGGAGAAAATCAACCTACCGACGCCATCTTGCCTGACAGCAATTCATTTGCTGCGAAGCGCGGCCACTGCGTGTACATAGTTCAAATCCCCCTGTGTTCGTGCGTCACACACAAGGAACAGTGCGAGTCAACCAGCGAAATGTCCCGCCCATGGGACGTCGTTGCTAGGTAAAAGGGCGCCCTCTTCGTCGGCGCACGGGGCTCATAGGGAGACATTCCCTTGAACGTGTGCACAAAATAACCCAAACGTTAAAGACGCGTAATCCCAACGTAACCTTATCCTCCCTCCGTGAATCTTTGTAAATGTATCATTTGTTTGCATCAAGAAGAATCGATTGAGCATATTTGCCTAGAAATAGGAGTTGAAGCAGGACAATCACTTTGTATTTTGTTTAAAACAAGCAACAAAAGTTTAGAACACATTTATAGACTTGATTGGGACCCAACGAAGATCAATCAAAACGTGTGTGATATGACAGTATATCACACAATATAGCACATGCATTTTAAACCCGCTTAAGGCGGTCTAAATGCACAGATGGTATCCCAAAGAGCAAGCTGTTACCAGCTGGATGGAATATGCACGGACAAGGGTTTCAGTACCAGCATGTGTTAAATTCTTCATAATAGATCATGTTTTGTGAAGATAATAACAATCTACATTGTACGTTCATTACCACATGATCTTTCATTAACATCAAACCACGCTCCCAAGTTCCGGGCAAGAGTCACAGGGCTAACGACTGATCCCCCAGCCTCTATCCCATCTATGTTAACTCTTGCCAATCGCTGACAATTTTACCAATAATGCCGTTTTAGTATTGTGGAACTGAAATGTTGACTGAAATGTAGGGACAATAGGTTATGAAATGTAAGGGGTGATTGTAAATGGTTTTCTCAAGAATCTTCGGAATACTAAGACAAGATAAGTTTCGGTAGCACCATGTAAATAAATCTCTTTTCTGAGTATGCGTGGTTCTGAAAAGAACCACACATACCCAGAAAAGAAATTTATTCACATGGTGTTACCGCAACTTATCTTGCTTAGTATCTTTCCACCATGCAAACCTTCAAATTTCAATCTTTGGAATCTTCGGAACTGTAAATTGCTGACTGGACGATAGTTTTCGACCTAACTCTTTACAGTATTCTTCATTTGTCTGGAATTGATTTAATCTTTACATGCGCCTCCCGCCATTCTTGGAAGTCAGCTGTACTTCCATGTAACGATTACCGCTCGGCCTTGATGCATTGCCATGACAACAATATCGGCAGACCAGATGAGCCACCTTTAGTTTCATAATTTAGAGGTTTGCATTTCGACAAAGGATATAATTTTCATTTCAGCCAGGAATTTATCATCTTTTTTATTTCACTGATATTTAAAACCAATTAACAATTACCGAGGAAGGTGAAGCAGGCAGTTAGTGGTTTTGATCTATTGTGTTTAAGCAGAGCTACTGCATAATAAATGATAGTGGCTCGTTTTGTAACGCAGATGCCGTACATTGTCATAAAGGCAGCACCGGCGAAGCGAATAGGAGATGAACAACGTGGCATTGTTCGTGACTGTGGTTCTAGCTTGTGACATCCCGTAAGACATGCTACTGTGCAATTTCATGAGGATGAACAATCTTTAAAGAAACCAAACAATTACCAACGAAAATTCATTTTATTTCCTGCTTCACACGACGCCGTGTTCGGGAAATCTAGGCCTATCGCCGCTATAACCACTGTAACCAAACCGCTACTAAATGTCAAAACAGTCCTACATTTGATCCTGTTGAATTAAACCAAAATATCAGATCATGCAAACTAGGCATGGACAATTTTATGTAGCATATTCCATCAGCTCTGTACAAGAGGATGGGTTTTGCAATTGTTTAAAACTGCAAAACAGTCTTTTTGATCCTGCACCCCAATAGAGTAAACCAAAATTTCAGATCATGTAAACGAGGTATGGACAATTTTATGGAGCAAATTTCATCAGCTTTGTACAAGAGGATGGGTTTTGCAATTGTTTAAAACTGCAAAACAGTCTTTTTGATCAAAAACTAGATATTTATATTCGAAAGAGGGATACATTGAAATAAGTGCCAGTGCACAATAAGCTCTGGCGAAAAATGCAACACCGATGGCACATACAGAACACCATTCTTTCAGTGAATGTTCAGCTCCCTCTGGTGGATCGATACCGTCCAACCACTACAAAAAAATACCATGTCACTACAGTATTACTGCACAAAACTTGCCTCCGTTTACAAAATGCTAATAAACTCTACGAATTGTCACAAAAATTTGTAGAGTAAATTTACTGACGACGACATCTGCTTTATTTTTGGTCAAATTGTTCGGTCAATTTTTAGTACATTTTCCGGGAACAGAAAAGGACGCGCATGTGCATCAATCGAAACGGAGTGCATTTTCTCGATAACTTTTGTTAAGAGTGCATTCATTGACGACGGCATGGCATTTGCTCAATGTTCGGTCAAATATTTTGGGGTCAATTTACGGGGGCAGACTAGCCTTTAGTCAAGGCGCGCATTGCTTTGACCCGGACGCGTGGTTCCACGGATGCTGGTGGCACGAAAACAGACCAGTGCGAGCGGCGAAGCCACGAGTGCCTGTACCATCTCGTGAAGAACGATTGTACTTCTTTACATTTATCTACCGATTTGGTGGAGGCATTAATTTGTCATGCATAATGCATTGCATGTTGTGAATATGGACCAATGGAAATGTAGCATTAATACCTGTCTAGACGAAGTGACGTCAGAAGCACGTGCAAGAAATCAGAGCAAAGCAAGATGGCGACTTCGGCGGTGTTTTTGTCGGCAGCACACATCGTCAGTGGATCATGATTATTCAGCTAGTTCGACGTTTATTGATAACGCCATGCAATCGAATGTGAAATTGGAAGGTAAAAATCATCTCGTAAACCTAGTGTCCAACGGTTTCGGAAAAAGTAGGGTTTTTTTTTCAAACCAGCCGTCACAACCGAATTTGACATTAGCTTCACATTCCCCGTTCTAGGCTTATGACATGGAGACCCTCCAGTACTGAAATTACCGAGTTAGTCAGCTAAAATTCAGTTTTAGGGCCGATATTTTCAGCTTACATTTTTAATTACAAGTAAACAACAGGAGATGTCGTTTAACAGTAAAGCAAATTCTCAAAATGACAATACAATCAAGCTGAACTAGTTTTTAAAAAAGAGCTATTTTCGGTGCAACTCCGGGTGTGTACACCATACAGAGATTTTTTTTCTTAATTTAAATCATCCGTCCAAATATTTTCAAATCGCCCCTTGATAGTATTTGATTAACCACGGTTAAAAATACAATCATGACGTCATCAGACCGGAGGTAACTGTAGGGGGAATTTCAAAACGATCATTTAAAGTTAATTCTGTCATTCGGCCCAATCTTATTACTATTATGATGTCCATTACAATATTGACATTTTGAATCCCTGGTGATGTGACGTCAGCAACCTGAGGATGGGTTGTATTAATACGTCCACTTTATATATTATCCATATTTTCATACGGCAGTTTTACGTCATAATGAACATATTATATCCTCTCCGAACTAAATCAACATTCACTTCCACCTGACTGATGACGTCATCGAACCAGAAACAAACTTGTACGTGTACATAAAATGTTAATTGATGTGTATGATACCTTACAGGATGAATGTTTTTCTAAAACAAATTCACTGTGTGTAACATATCTTGATCCTTTGTTCCGTCATAAAAATATTCATAACTCTATTGGGCAGTGTCGAATGAAGTACATGTCTGGCCGACCACCCTGCGTTTGTATCTCAACAAACGCAAACTTGTAGTTTGCAATTGTTTTTTTTTCCAAAGAATGTTTAGTAAACATGGCAAAATGCAAGTTATGGTGATCACTATAAGTGACTATAATCCTTTAGAGTGATTTCAGAGTCTTAGACTCCATTTCTTCATACAAAGATTACTGTAGAAACTTCACCATTTTGAGTTTTCCCTTAAGTCAACATACTTTACCCGCGCTTGGAATAGAGTCTGAAAGTAAAAGGTCACACAGCTCCCGGAACCCTCGCGCGGTCTATCAATGGGTTGCCCTTTTCTTGCTATAATTTTTTTGACCTACACAGAATTGTTTCTATTTATTGCACTAACTCTACGTGTACTTGTAGAAGTCGACCTAACTAACTAACTCGTGACTCCATTTCATTTGCAAACCAGGACTAAATGTCGGATTGGAAGTGGTCGATTCGAAAGCAGTGTTTTGTAATACAATAACGGTCTGACATGGATCTTTGAACCTAGACTACGGGTGAATGACGGAAGACTCAATATCGAAACCGCCCGCTGATTGGTCAAAATCCAGAGGTCAAAGAGGTTGGATGTCTTGCATTGTACATCTTGTACATGTGTGCTGCCATCTATAGATTGGATGTGCGCTTTTCCCCTCATAAATGGATATAATTGTTCAAGGTAACGTGTACACTGTGTGCCGCCCTCTATAGATTGGATGTGCGCTGCTCCCTTGAATAGGATGGTCCTCGGAATACGGTATACATTGTTTGCCGTCCTCTATAGATTGGATGTCTCCCCTGAATGGATGGAATTGTTCTCGATAATATGTGTATTCTGGTCCGCCCTCTATAGATTGGATGTGCGCTGTTCCTCTCGTCATCATGCAATCAAAGGGTGCGTTCGTTTAGCTTACCCGGGTCGAAACGGGTATAAAGGCAGACGGGTCAGCCATGACAGCCGGGCTAATCGAACGCTCAACCTAGGGTCATCACAATCCTCACGTGACGCCCGTAGCCGTGGCCGTAGCCACTGACAAAACGCCCGTTTCGGATTGGGCCTTAGTTTGAGATTTACTGATTTTTAGTCAATTGCAAAACTCAAAAAAATAGGGCTGAAATTAAATCCTCCAAAGTCGCAATTTCCTCAATTACCTTTAGACTTCAAATAAAGTTAACTTTTGAGTCCACTTGAGATTTCCGTTGTCCGGCCGCCATATTTGTCCGTTTCTAGGGAGTGAACAACGCATGCGTGTCATACTTCTACCAGTGATTCTGCTCCACGAGCAGAGTCTCATGATGTGGTGGCTGACCTTGCTGAAGACCGACAATGACGTCAGAGCTAACCGAACGGCAAGGGGCTCACCCGTGTGGACCAATATTAGCTATTTAACGAACGCAACCATTCAGTGAGACTCTGTGGTTCATGTTTTAATAGAACAATAGAAGAAGACAGCAGCGTGCAGTAGACAGCGGCATGGCCAGCGTTCTCACAACCGGGGGGGGGGGGGCTAGAATGTTGAAATGGAAGGGGGCGCCAAATCATCTTTATATGGGGGCGTCATTCAAAGCGGACATTAGTGGACGATAGCTGGCACTCTTCATTAAGTACAATCGCGGAACGTCAAAAAGGGGAACTCGTGAAAAAAAGAGGAGCTGTGAAAAAGGAAAAGCAAATATTCGTTCCACAGCGAAACACCGACCGAAGTGGGAGGGGGGGGGGGGACTGCAGGCCGCTGTTCAAATGGAGGAGGGATTGAATGCCATTTCACTCTAGGGGGCGCTCTTTCCTCATTTTATTAATTTGTCTCTTTCTATAATTATATCACCTGTCTCCAAGATGAAAAAGAGTGTGTTTAGCATCGATGTAAAAACCTCGACTTCTTTCGTCTTCTGGTATCATTTAAGAAAATTACAATTGAAGTCGCATTTTTGTAGAGGGCGTAATAGCTCTTGTGGTCCCTCTTGATTCGCCGATTTACTGAATACTATATTCTGCGAGAGTATCAATGCCACTTCCTGTAGACGAAGTTGTAGATTTAAGTGTAGACATATTATATTTTGAAGTATAGCACCAGTATCCCTACAGCTGCTTAACACTAATAGGCCTACTACTAGAATCACATTCTTGCAAACAAAACTCTTTCAATAAACTGGGAAAACTGATCAATCATGGATAGGTTCTTGTCACTCGGTTTATTCAACGTCATAGTCATTCGAACCTTATTTTTTGCTAGTGCGCAATATACAAGCAAAATAGCAAACAGCAAACTGAGTGATAAGAGTCAATAATTGTTTGCTTCTTATCACTCAGGTTATTCCTTGTCATATGTCATTATTTACATTATGCAATGTACCTGCAAAATAGCAGAATAAACACGTATAGATCCAACCACGTTATTTCAGTTTTCTGCTCCGTGTATCTTTATACTCCATACTATAAGTTATCATTCAAGGTTTATTAAATTTGATTTATTTCATTTTCTCATATTGGTACCCAAAAGTAGACGGGGCATACTTACATTATGTGTCAATTTCAGTTTCAAATATGCTAATGAAATTATGGTATCTATTTTCAATATTTTTTTTTATTTTGACAGTCCTTTCTTCTTTTATTTGGGTTTACATATTAATGTTAAGCGCAACGACGAAACCACATTGTCAAACTGCTGATATCGCAAATATCCGTTACTACGATGACTTTAGGGATAAGTGGACAAGTTTTCACTTGTATTTTTTTGGCAGGAGGAAAATACCGCGACCAAAGTTTGGAATTTATATTGTTGAATTATATCTCATTTATGAAATATTCGTAAAATGTTCGTTTCTCCAGCATCAGGACTCTAAAGCATTTGGATTTAGGTTTTTTGTCATTGTGTGAGCACTACAGTTAGCAGGTTTTGGCTGCAATTGATCAATAGATCATAAAAGAGGCGACAAAGTAAATTGAAAGGTTTAGTACATTTTTTTTTTGATTTCAGGTATTAACAATGTGCCCGCAAACTTAAATTCACCAACCTTTTCCCGCTGTTGCCAGCGTCATACAACCCTAAAACCCACCTTTTTTGTGCACCAACAGATTGCCTTTCGCAAAAAAAACATTCAATATTAAGTTTACAATAAGCAACTGAAAATGATATTTTCACAAACAAGCAGTCACGGTCCCATCGCACGCATTTTCATCTGGCAGGTTCTCAGAGAATAGGAAGAGCCTTTCCAGTAATACCAATGCACGCCCCTATCACCAGCTGTTACATGCTTATTGGGGTAATATCGACCGTTCAAGTTGGAGTGCAAACAAACATTAAACCACCAGGCTCCGTGGAAGTATTGTGCACATTTGTACGTTGCACGATCATTGTCACGATCCTTTGTTGAGAAGGGACTTCCTCTGTGATGCCTAAGAGAGTCATCACCGGCGGTGCTGCTGGCATAGTATTTGCCAATAATCAGATTGTACTCACCCGAGGATATTTTGAAATCTGAGTACTTTGCCCATGCCGTGTTGCCATCCCAGTCCTCTAAATCAACTCGTAGCTCCCAAGTTCCTAGTGAATCATCAGACGTCAGAGTCACCAAGTTGTCATTGCCCAACCAGAACTCACCCGACAGATCGCCAAAGCCAGACTGGTACTCGGTCCAGTTACGGTAGAAGTCTACACTGCCATCTTGTCGCCTCTGAAACACGATCCATCCTCCGCCGTCAGTTTCCATGTCACAGTAGACACGAAGACCGCTATCACCGAATCCCTCTGGGTAGATTGTGTAGATACCGCTTGAACGATAACCGGCATCTAAGAGCATCTTGCAACCTCTGTTACGATTCAAGGAGCCATCAGTCATTGAGTAGTGAGGTGTGTTCTCATCTGCATCAAAGTACACACTCCCTTGAGTTGCATTGAAGTTTTCGGGATGCTCTCGTCTTGTGGCAAGGTTCAACTCGCACAGTTTACTGCAGTAGTTAAAGTTAAACGACTTGCAACTTTCATCCATGCTGCATTCCCGCCCGCAGATGACACGAGATTGCACATTTTTGGTTGCATATTCAAACCCTTGTAATGCGCGATTTTCCGCGGCGTACATGATTTGTTGGTGTGGATGAAATTTATGTCCATCGACAAAAATGATCATACCCAAAAACAGAATCAGACTAAAACCTTTGAAAGCAGCGTCGAACTTTGTCATTTTGTAGAATCTGATCAAGCGTGTTGTTACTGAAATGTTCACTTACAGCCTGAAACAAGAGCGTCACGTTCTGAGTCGATAAATATGCAGCCGGCGAAATAATGAATCACATTCAACATGAAAATGAACCCTTGGTACCGCTGCATTCAGTATTTATCTGTTCACTTTTTGACGAGTTCGATTACACAATTGATGCGAGAACACGCAGTGAAACCTTGCCTGAATACAATCAATTTAGGTCTGGTAATGTCATGTCGTTGACACTGCAGATATCAAGGTGTTACCACATTTGCAACCGCCGTCTGGAATGAAACTGGCGACGTAGCGCTCCTGGTTTCCAGTAAGGTAAGCATTCCGCGGAGATGAGAGACACTGATTGGTCAGTGACATATGAATACTAAGTAGAGCTTCGCGTTTGTTGAGTTACAAACGCAGAGTGGTCGGGCGGACAACCTTAATTAACCACTGCCCAGTTATACAGGGTGGATAAAAAAACGAGACCGAGATATTATTGCTAATTGGAACAGAAGAAAGGCACATGTGAATCAAAGGGAGATATCCTCTGTTACGGTTGATCTCCTCTTTAAAATGACACCCCGATCACCCTAACAGAAAATATCTCCCTTTGATTCCCATGTGCCCTTCTTCTGTTCGAATTAGCAATAATATGTCGGTTTCGGGTTTTTTTTATCCACCCTGTATATGTTTATGTAGAACAAAGGATCACGAAATTAAATCCCTTCCAGCACAATCAATTATTTTGTTTCAAAAAATTTATCCTTAACGATGTGATAGATTTCAGTTAACATTCTATGTGCGCAAAAAAAAGTTATTTCTGGTTTGATTACGTCATCAGTCAAAAACGGTAAGTGAATACTGATAAAGTTCGGAAAGGATAAATTTTCATTGTGAAGTTAAAATAACGTATGAAAATATGGGAAAAATAATTGAATGTATTAATAACATCTAAAATCAGGTTTGATGACGTATAAATAACACCTAACTTACGGTTTAATGACGTCACAGCATTAGAGATCCAAAGGTGAACAATGTAATGGATATCATTATTTGGATTACGAAGATATGACCGGGATTAATGATAGAATTCAAATAAAAATATGATACTTTTCAAATTCTCCTTAAAGTAACTTCCGGTCTGAATACGTCATGAATTTGAAACCTTGCCAAGTTATCTGTGGTTAATCAGAGAATATCAAGGGTCGATTTGGTAAAACTTGGACGGATAGTTTTAAAATTAAAGAAAGCAACTCTATTTTATGTGCCACTAGGGGGCGCTCTTTCGGATGATGACATCATCACACTTTTTTGTGTCTGGTATTCCTCTTTTAACACTTTCATAATGTATATGTGTGTAGTAAAATGCTTCCTCTTTGAATATATTTGGCTGTTATTGCACTTCCGGTAACACCGGAAGTTAAGGTCAAGCAGTTTTGTGTCCGGGGACAAGAAGTTTGTCTCACGGCATAGTCTACAAACTCACGAAAAACGAACACGATACTTTATTTAATTCAAAAGATATAGCGCAAACTATTTTGTCATAATTTGCCCTCAAATCGCTTGTAATTTGATACCTGATGATGTCACGATGACGTTGCGAAGATTATAGCATCTTCGTAACATGGTACAAGTTCACACTAATTTTTTATGATCATAGTGTAAACCGTTTCGAAGAGTTAAAGGTGAAAGTATTTGGCCACTGTTTCCTCTAAAATCGCTTGTAATTTGACACCTGATGACGTCATCATGACGTCATTATGACGTCAGAGTAATATGCAACACTTGGGATGTGGGTCGATATATTGAAAGTTACAAGTTCATATCATAAACCGTTTGGGAGAAAACCTGCGGAGACGTATTGTCCAAAAAAAAAGAAAAAAAGAAAGATTAATCGTAACAACGCCAAACAGTGGTTGGATTGTGCCCGATTACTCAATGAACAGCTCGCACTGGATTCGTTGATGCCAAGTATAAACGTTCTTCATAATTATTATTATTAAAAAAACCGAAAAGTTCGGACATAACACACAGGGACGTAACCCATGCTAACTGCATAAATCCGTATCAGACTTTGACAAGCAGGCTCGCACAGTCAGTCTTTGTGCACCGTTGTCAGCACCAAAACAGAAATTCATTTTTAAAACGTCTCATGCAGTTTGTGATAAACTGTCAAGGACAAGCCTTACGTGCACGCTAAAAGTGGGTATTGTATTGGCTAATCTTTTCATCAGCCTAATTGGTACACTGATGAAACATTGAAACGTTACTCTTTGTAATATTTACACACTTACTGGATTATAAATGTAAGCAAGGAGACGAGAGGATTTTAGTCAGGCTTTAACCAATGAAGCATGTCCAAGGCACTAATGGCCGTATTTTAAGTGCGTCATTCATGTATAAATCGTTTCATGTTTTTTAAGCTCTGACAGGAGCATCTACATGTCACTTGGTGGTTGGTCTGTCGGTTGGTCGGTCTGTCTGTCCCCACGAAATATAACTGCCGAATTGAAAATTTCAAAAAAAATAAACAAATAAATTAAACAATTGACAAAAATTGATTGTGACAATTCGGAAAGTTTGTAAATTGATGCAAATGTGTGCAGTAATTATCTTGGTATTGATCTATTGTGTGTATTCGCAGCGCTGCTGCATAATGAATGATAGTGGTTCGTTTTGTAAGGCAGATGAGGTACATTGACAGAAAGTCAGCATCGGTAAAGCGTATTGAAGATGAATAAAACGTGGCATAGCTCATAGTTTTGGTTGTAACTTTTGACATCTCGTGGGACATTTTTACAATTTACAAATTTAAAACAGACTGAACTCTTTAGAATGTTGGTTGGTCTTATACATACAATCAAACAAATTTCTAAAATTTCATGCACCCTATTTTTGCTCAAACTGCTTCCCTTTAATGGAAGTTTTTAATTGATGGACTTCAATAGGTATTAGACTTGATGTCATCAACAAAGGATTAGTTACAATGTGACAAATAAACAGCATCCGTGCTCCCAGTTGCAAATCAATCACCTGTGGCGTATCTCAGGGCTCCGTCCTTGGGCCAGTCGTATTTGTTATTTATGTTAACGATATCCGTAATGCTACACAACCTCTGACGTTCATCTTATTTGCAGATGATAAAAAAATATTCTACAGTGGTCACAATTTAAAAAAAGAAGAAAAAAGGGCCTCCTCCTTCCTTTTTTTCAGAAGGCAACGCTAAAAAAATGTTTTCTACTTGGCCTTACATGTCAGCATTCAGATAAACAAGAAATCACGGGCTTCATATATAACATGGCAAACAAATAGGTTTATTAATTTTTTCAATTATTGGATTAATAATCTGATTTTGTTTACATTAATTTTTAAAATCAAAATGTACACAGTAAGCTCAGCGCCAAACTGAGGAAATGTGTGTTTTAACAGTGCAGGTGAATTGTATACGTTTTTTAAATCCTTAACATCCTCCATCCTTAAAGTCCCCTCTTAGTCACTGAAGATTGATTAAACAAGAATTGAAAAGAATCAAAATTAGATCAAGTGAAAATGTCATTAGGAAAACATAATAAAGGTCCTGCACCTTTTGATGCCATCTTTAATTGGTAATTACAGAACACCTAAGTGAACACTTTTGTGCTAAGCAACGATAAGCTAACTAACATGAACGAAAAGGTACTTTTATTTTGCAAAAGCGATGCACGGTTAATTAATGTTACACATAATACTTTCACCTTCAATGAAACATCAACAAAAAGGCAGATTATCATCTCAACATTTCAATTAACAAAAGTGGGTAAATTTTGAGATATTCACATTACGTATTTTGACGAGAAATCTGCATTCAGTTCTTAAACATCCAATAACTGACCCTCAAACGGGTGGCACAAAACTGTTCAAAATATAAACACGTTTACATTTTGTTTGGAACTACAGGTTGAGTAAAAAACAGGAAACCCAAATGGCAGGATCAATTTAAGTGAAGTTCTGCCTGTACCACTTTCAGCATCTAGGATATAAAAGCCCAATTAATCAGGGTTCAAAATTAGCGGTAGCCCGCTAGTCAAATGCTAGTCAAAACAGCGGTGGGCTAGTCAAACTATTCCTTAAGTATAGCCCGGATGGCAAGGCAAAAAAATATTGGGATGTGGCAAAGATGTAAGAGCAGGAATAAAAAAATCATTAAAATGTGTGTATAATTGTATCAACTGTTTTAAAGGGTTACTTACAGAAATGATTTTGCTCAATATTGAACATCGTTCTACACTGATCAGCAGAGATTGGTCGGAAATGAGACAGACCACAAGACAATGATGGCCTAGTGAGATAAAAAAAAAATGGACTGGCCTCAAAACAAACAAAAGCAGAACATTAAAAAAAACAGTTACAGCTGTTCGTGTCCTCCTTCCCTAGATATCCTGAGAAAATTCCATTCACAGTCTTGTTTCAGTGGTTTCAGTGTTCTCATCCATGACTGAAGTTACTCGTGTTGCGTTTTGCTGGTCTGGTACAGTTATTGCAAGAGGCGAGGTAGCTTGCTGCTGTTTTTTAAAGCGAAATGCCTCTTTGAATGCTACCCGGTACGTCGTGGTCATGGCAGCGTATATCAATGGATTAATCATCGCATTGATGTACAAGGGAACGGCGGATATCCATCTGTATTCTCTTCCTATCCCAGCTACTAAAGGATTAGGAATCTTAGCCACGTTGCAGATCCACCTACTCAGACTGATGATACGATACGGTGTCTGACATAAGAAGAACACCATTCCATTAACAATCAGCATCTTGGCCACTTGGTTTCGGATTTGTATAGCGTTGGGGTCGTTACTGACCAAGCCACCTCTATCGCTGCGTTTGTTGAGCGTTTTTAAGATCCGCACGTACATGTAGATATTGGCTACCATTGAGATAAGCCAAGGAATGTGGAACAGTGGCGAAAGGTAGTAGACTACCCATGGTGCTATGGGACTACAGTAAGCTTTAGTTGATGGATAGTCTAGGTACGCTTCATCATCGGGCCAATTCAGACATAGCACTGTTAGTTTTGCTACCGATGGCATTGCTGCAATAGCAACCAGCAAGCCTACCAGCCAGCAGATTGCAATCATTCTGTAGGTTCGTCTTCGTCCACGGATTGTTCGATGCTTAATGGGGTGACAGAGGGCAAGGTATCTCTCAAAAGTTACCATGGTAACTAGTGCAATGGAGGCATAGTAGACAATTTGAAAAGCCATAAAAGTACCTATGCAATAGGCAGAATTCACAAAGGGATCGTGAAATGCGACAACAGACGCAGAATATCTCAAGGTGGCTACCACACATGCCAAATTTAAATAGAGAAGATCAGCTAGTGCTATGTGTGCAAGGTATAGATTAACAGTGTCTGTTCTCAGTTTGGGAACGCGGAGCATGACAAACAGGAAAGTTGAGTTATTGGTGACACCAAGACACCAGATGATCGGCATGATAATGGTTATGATGACAGTGTCCGTTGGGGTATACAGCCAGTCAGAAACCTCCTCCTGACTTATATTGACAGTATCTTGTTCACTGCACTCACCTGACGTTATACCGGCTCCCATGATGGATATGTCTTTCACAACAGCTTCATTGCAATTCTACCGCCCGCAGAGCCACCCAAGCGAACTGCAGTCCAGTACGTGCACAGTTCCAGAGAACACTAATGTAAATCAAGCTAGGAGGTTCCAAAGTTTCACAGATTGGTTCATGTGCACAGCAAATTGAAAATCCCATTGCTGGAGACTTTTCTTCGTGTCAACTGCCTGACTGGAACAATTGTGGCCTGCATGCTCCCCCTTGTTAGTTAGCCCCGTATTCTTTGATAGATGTGTGCCATCACGATTCCTCTATTTATTACAGCAGATAACCGTGACCATTTCACTAACTTATTCAATGATGCCTTAATGGAGAACCCATTCTCAAATCCTGTAGTTGTAATTGTAAACATTGGCATGCTCTCGTATGTAGCCACATGTATGTCTAATTGTTTGACTTTGGTATTTCAAACGTCTTAAATTAAAATGAAGTAAATTACTTGATTGATCATCAAGGAAAGTGCATCGACTCACGAGTAAAATATTTACATAATATCACCCACCCCCCTCCAAAAAAACCAGTAAGGGTAAAATAAAAGTTGAACTTCGAACATGAACCGTACGATGTAATTGAAACACGTTGATTTGTGTGATGGGTATTGAAATGAGTGGTGTATAGCAGAGTTCCCTCTTTCCATTTATTTTCCATTTATTTTCATATGTATTTTCCAGAGTTATTCATTTAATACCCTCACCAGTTTATTAATGTGGCGGATCTCGCCTTGATTCTCGGTTATACCTGTCGGAACTACGGAGATCGTCAGAGCGATCTAGGGCCCGAGAAACATGGATTTGTTTTGGGAGCAATTTGCCACCGATTTGTATTTTATTGTTAATCTCTTGGATTCATCATGCAGTTATTTGTACACAATTATGGACGAAAGACAGCTCTCAACATGAGAAATTCCCAAATTAAGAATAGTTTTAGTAACGTGTGAATCAGAAACGTAAGTTGTGTGGTTTTGTAATGTAAAGTCTATACATTGATTCGTTATTTTGTAACCTACTCACTGTACAAAAATAGTCATAAAGTTGTCAATTTAGAAGACCCCAATTTTTTTAGTGGATTCTGATAGAGGAAGACATGCTCTAACAAGTCATTTTCATTTTGTTAATTTTCAGCATGATACATTATTACAACAATTGGGTCAATGGTCATGGTAACTTATTAAAGGTCATGGTGACCTAATTTTCACAAAATTTAATGTTGACAAAAGAGTTGATTTCAGCATGCAATTAGTTTTATTTTAATACCAAGTTTGCATATATTTGATGAAAATTGACATGGTTATGACATATTTTGTACCAAAAGGTGGTATTTTAATCTAAAAATTCTCACTTTTTGTTGTTTCTGCCCTGACCACATGGTTGGTCGGATTGGGCTTACAATTGGTGTGATTTCATGCTCATCACGAACTACAAGCACAGCAATTTTTATCATTTTTTTAACAAACCGTAATATTAATGAAACTATGTAAACGAATTAACTCTTCATTAAATGACTTAGAATTTTGTTTGGTAAACATTGAAGAAAAGAACATTTTCAATTTATACATGTACTTAATTTTCAAATACTAATATTAAAAGTGCATCCCAATTTTTTTTAGTTTTTATATGTACACTGTGAAGGCTCTTTTTGCCGAATTGAATTTAATGTCAATTTGGTTCATAATAATAATAATAATAATAATATAATTAAATCGTAGTCTTAGAGCGCACGTATCTACCAACAATGAGGTACTCAAGCCTTCTCAAGGCGCTGGAAATTATGTCTATTATTAAAGACAGGTAAATGAAGTTGAGTAAGATTTGAGGCTTTGCATGGTGGAGATACTAAATAATGAAAGGTTTGCGGAAACACCATGTGCGAATAATTTCTCAACTAAGAGAATGGTTCTGAAAAGAACCAGAGGTATAAACTCGACGTTCCGGTCAGTATGCTCTGACCGTCTTCAGGAGAGTGCCTAAACTCTAAGAAAGTGAATACTTAAGTAGCAAAAGGCGGAGTCAATGAAGTTGATGAGAAATATGAGACCCATTGGGTGCGTTCGAGCGTGCTACTCGTGTGAATGCGAGTATACGCACGAACGGCAGGAGTACGACCCGCGGTTTAGCAAGAGTATGGTCTCCGTCATACTCTTGCACCGAGAGGAATGCGCACGCAACATTTTCCTGCACTCAGGAGTAGCGAGAGTAACACGCTCGAACGCACCCATTATGTAGCACCTTATAAGGGTTTACAAGGTGCTGCAGCGCATATTGCAGCCACTACCAGAAACACCGGGGCAAACCCCTTCTTTTAGCGATAAGTGTTACTGGGTTCTTTAAACAGTACAACACACGGGACCTACGGCTTTACGTCCCATCCGAAGGACGACGCAATAATGGTAAAGCGCCTTGCTCAAGAGCAAAAGCACCATGTTCCCATAGCCAGGATTCGAACCCATGTACCACGGCACACGACGAGTCGAACGCCATTGGACCACAGCACCCCACTCGAAGTAAATTTCATCAAATAGTTACAGAAAAGTCTTCATCACGATTGAACTTGAATCTTTGGTATATATACTTCATTTTCAAGTATGAATAGGCATTATGAGAATTGAAAAGGATTCAAACACTGAAGCAGTAAGCAGTTCATTATTTACTGACTTACTGTGGCCTGTTCATCAATGCCAAACGATGATCTTGTCGCAAGAGTTGACATCGTTGACCCGGCACTTGCACGTTGAGTGGATCGACTTTTGCACCGAAAAGCCTCTCTAAATGCCGTGCGGTATTGCTTATTGATAGCGCCATAGATCATCGGATTAACCAACGTATTGACGTACTGAGGGACTCCACCGATCCAGTTGGCATTATAAAATGTAACCAGGGGATCAGGAATGCTAGCCAGTGAAGTAATCCATCTGGAGTAACTGAAGATACGATACGGCGTCTGACACAAGAAGAACACCACGCCGTTGACAATCAGCATCTTGGCCACTTGGTTTCGGATTTGTATGGCGTTCGGGTCGTTGCCGATGATACTTCTGTTGGTAGTGCGTTTGTTGAGCATCTGCATGATGCGTACGTACATGTAGTTGTTTGCCACCAGTGCCATGAACCAGGGAATATTCAATATGGGTCGAGCATAGTCTGCAACCCACGGTACCACCGGACCACAGTAGGCATAGCTGGTTGGGAAGTCTTGGTACATGTCGTCATCGGGCCATCGGAGACATCGAACGTTGAGAACGAAAGCACCCGGGATGATTGCAATGGAAAACAGCCAGCCCACCACCCAACAGATGGCAATCATCTTATTGGTGCGTCCCCGTCCGCGGATGCGGAGGTGTTTCATGGGGTGGCACAGGGCCAGGTATCTCTCAAAGGTTACCATAGTAATTAGTATGATAGATGCGTAGTACGTAGCATTGATGCCACCGGAGAAGCAGATGCAACCCGCTGCGTGCACGAATGGGGTGTGAAAGGCCACGGGGGAGGCCAAGTAGCGCCAGATGCGGAACCCAAACGCCAAACTCACGTAGAGAAGATCAGCAACTGCTATGTGCGCTAGGTACATGTTAGTATCGGATCTCATCAGTTTAGGAACGCGGAACACGACAAAGAGAAAAGTCAGATTAATGACTAGACACAGAGACCAAATAACAGGCATAACCACAGTAATCATGTAGATGTCCACAGGAGTGTAAAGCATTCCAGAAACCGCCTCCTGACTGATATTGACAGTATCTTGCTCACTGCACTCACCTGACGTTATACCGGCGCCCATGCTGGATGATTTGTATAGTTTACTTGAACATTCAAAACTCTCTTCAAAGTTCGTACACTGTTGTTACTGGTCCTGTGTATATGGGATGAGTGCGTATTAATGTTAAATGTACGCCTGCTTTATTATATTTTAGGCCTATGATCTCCCGTGCGTCAATATTGACCTCGTTCGTTTTCTCCAAACGTATCAAGATTCATGGATTGACTATGTTGTCGAATTTGCATATAGAAATAGTCTCATCATTATCATTTTGATCGAAGAATGTACCAGCATAAATGCTAAAATAGAATTAAGTAATATTGCGTAAATGATTATCTTTATTTATATGGTTAAATTATTTTGCCGAATTGCACTTAAAAAAAAAACCTCATCAGTGTTTTGTTCTGGAATGTACCAGCTAAATGCGCTAGTAGCACTGGCTTATTAAGTAGGGCATATGTACAAGTAAATTGCCTGAATGCTAACCCTGAGACTTGCAGATCCTTCAATCAATTTCGAAACTGGATAATGAAGCAGAATGGAGGATTGGTAGAGCCCAGTGACTGTCACTGGGGCCTAAGCCGTGTCCCAATTACTTGACTACGGCTTCAAATTACACACGCGCCTACGGAAGTGGCTGCAGCCGAGTGTTATTTCCGGTGTCATATGAAAATCGGACTCGACAAAAAATCGGACTTTTTTCCCTTTTATTGGTTAAACCCTCTCACGTGACCGGTCCCTCTCCTAATTATCTATGCATGAGCATGCGCAATACCACCAATGAGTCCGTATTTCATAAAACCTAAATTCATGCCACACGGGCCGTAGCCAATGGATTAGGACAGTACGGTCTATAGTGTGTCTTGAAAGTAAAAGTACAAAGAATGTGGCATTGGTTTCTTTCACAGTGGGGATTTTTTTAGAGGATTTAAGAAGCTTCTTGTTGAAAATCTCACAGGATCGATCTCTTCTGTAAAGTTTTAGCGCAGAACTTACGTGGCTGCTGATGACAGTTTCTGTTGCATAAAAGATGCTTTTGAAAAGGAAGTCGACAGGCCCACATTTCTGTTCGCTCAGTTATTTTTGTACACCTGGGGCCATACCCATGCAATTGTATTCTGTGCATAGCGTTAAATGATTTTAAAACCATATTTTTCTTGTGACCAAAGATTAAAAGTTGTAACTTGCACCCAAGCGGTCATTTGTGTCAAGTTTGTAAATACAGATGCGCCTGGTGTGGCGAAATAATGAAAACAACGGCTGTACATTAATGTGTATCTATACGATTTTATTTTTTTTTCCGAAGAATTTTGTATCTTTTTATTAACGGATGTATTTGATAGTTGATAAACAAAGGATTTATGTCAAATCGAACTAAAACTTTAAACCCATTTCAAGTTGAGTTCCCCATATTTTTTTTCGAGTCTCATCCCGAAAAATATATTCTCTTTCTAAATTGCTATTTCAAATTAGGTTTTGCCCTTCACCGACGTTTTTGTTATTTACTAGCAGTACAGAAGTAATTCCCTGTTGATTGAGACAACCAAAAAACATCTGAACATGTTTAGGTATTGAAGTATTACTTTACAATTTTGAAGTATTGACTTCCAGACAATAAATCCGTTCTCGCAGGGTAGGCTGTTTCCTGCCCAACAGTCAGTATCGATATGGATAGGTAGGGACAGGGAGCCAGCCTGCTCTCAAAGTGGATCTGTTTGTGTCTAAAAACAAACCCTTTTTTCAGAGGGTTTCAGACGTAGACGTCCAAAAAGTGGGAAAGGAGGTTTCTGGTTGGAATGAAACAAAGACATACACGTTGACACTGTATTTATAGAAATAAAAGTCAAATTTATTGGAGTATATCTAGAATACTTTAATTGAGGTTGACGAGACGAGTTTCATTATTAATTTACCTCCGTTGCAAATAGAATCGCCATTATGGCCTTATTCACGAGTCGGCCATATTGAATTGAAAGTGAGGTAAAATCTGAAGTTTTGGGCCTTGCTAAGAGAAATAAAAGCAATTTAATTACTTATTAATTCCAGTCTGCTTCAATGAATAATTTATAATTTGTAATTAAACATTTCCTAAAGTTTAAAAACAGATTTAAAAAAAGTGACAGTAAAATAAGTCTGCATTTACAACCTCGTCCCCAGTGCTTACTTTATTTCCAACCTCGTTACCAAGACCTGGATAGGAAACTTTCTTCCTGTATCCTGATTGCTGTATCCTGTATCCTCAAAAATACTCTTTTCCTTTCAATTTTGCTCATGTTAATATAAAATGTGATACTGCAAATTGGCAGGATAGGATTGCAACATTTTACCTTTAAAAACAATCGTGTTTTCGAAACTCACGGCGTGACGAATTGATGCTGTTTTTACCCCAGACACCGCATGCAAGCACCAGACTATTCCTCATTTGCATACGTGTTCAAAAATCTTGCACATGCAAATGATCCGATACCAGGGTGACAGAACAGGTAGTGGTGGGCGCGTACTGCTCGACACCTGGGGACGAGGTTGCTGCATTTATATCTTCCTTAAAATAAGTCTGGCGCTATCCCATTCAACAGTAAACAATTAATTACATACATTCAGGGGAACTCGACAAAAATGGCCAACTCGTATATAACGCCTATAAAGGAACACTTTTCGTCGTTTTCACGTATACAAAGATACATGTAGCCATGCTAATACGTAATAATCTATTGAAGAGACTGTCTTTTGCAGTTTGCAATTCCTATGTACACATCCGTACAAAGGAATTACATTGTGTCAGTGTCTAAAACTGTGATTTAATTCTTAAAAGTACATAAAATTTGCCTTTATTATGGGGATGCAATGCATGCAAGCTCCCAACTTATCTTATTTACAAGAAAAAAATGAAAAATAAAGTAATATTAAAATTTGACAATTAGGTATAATTCCTATCCCTTCGTGTTTTTCATTCCACCCATGCATGGTTGTGTGTCCCTTATTCGTCCGTTTAGATCTGTACACCTGTCATTTTGCTTTTGACAAAGATTCTGCTGGAATCGAAATGTTACGCCGTCTAATTTTGTTTCATCAATTTTTTGAGTGCTGACACCTAAAGAACAAGGTCAAACCAATACTAACTTTAGGTACACACACGCTAACGGAAATACACTTATTTTCCTGCTACTTTCTAGTTTCAGGAAACAGTTCAAAGTGGAGTTGTTTTTATGGGATGCATACACCAGCATAGGCGACAGTCAGCGCATCTAGATTGTTCTGACACGCTGTAACCTCCAGCACGCACTGTGACGGGTAGGTAGTCCCGTCCGTCCCGCACACCGCTGACGAAGGCACGCAGCTATTGAAGCTGTTGCACTGGCGTGCCGTGACGGAGGTACTGAGAGCGGGGCGGCTAGTCATGGATGTCCCGCTGGGTGCCATGGATGTCCCGCTGATGGGCTGGTCCGATGCTTCCGACTCGGGCGCTACCGTGCCGGAGGACATTGGGGGTGGAGGGCCATTTGTCCCGGCCGAGCCAGACACCGTTCGTGGGGATGTGGGCGGCTGCGATGGCATGGCAGTGGTCCTTGCTGGAGCTGGGTAGAGCAGAAAAACAACAAGATAGCAATTAAATATTGATACGAATTTGATATGAATGTTACTGTTCAGAAATGGTGTATTATAAGTACGAAAAACAAACAACTACCGAGAAACGGTTGCTATTCATTTTTGAAGGTAGGTGGTTGTGCTGCTAAAATTGATAAACAAATTCAAACTCAACAGCTTTTACAACCTCAGTCTTTGTCCAAGACTGGTTTTGATTTTGTTTTCCTGTTGCAGCCGGTCCAGGCGTGGATCGGGGGGGGGGGGGGGCAAAACGCCCATTTTTGAATAGAAATTCCTCAAAAATAATGCGAACCCCCCCCCCCCCCCGCTCTGACATTCCAAAAATAAAACTGGTAATAATATCTGCCTGTGCCCAAAATACGGACAGAGCCAGCTTGTTTAGGGGTATTTGTTCACTATTCTGTAATATAGTGTTAATAATCGTCGGATTTGAAGAGCGCCCCCATTGAAATTATAATACGAGCCCCCCCCCCCCCTCCCGCACACCCACCCACCCACCCACCCACCAAACCACCCACCTATTGTTTTTTGGAGGCCAAGTCTCCTGAGAAAAAAACCCTGTCTACATTTAATAATTTTTTGCTGATGACCCCCCTCCTCATGCGAAAATTCCTGGATCCGCCCCTGCAATCCCATCCTTGGCGAGCGAGGTAAAAAGCACCACTGTGGTAGAGGGCGCTAACTACAAGATGCTGCGGCGCGCAAATTGCAAAAACGAAGCCGTAGCTGTAAAATACCTAAATACTAGAGATACATAAATTACCGGATATTGTCTTATAATTTGCATAGTGATGTTCACTCTTACCGATGGTCGGCATGTCATTGTTAACTCCATCGTCCACCTCATTGCTCAGACTGAGATCTTCCGGGCTCTCGTTACTGTCCGTATTACCGCCCTGTTGCTGTCCTCCTCCCTGGCGGACTGGCCTAGGGCAGGGACCCTGCGAGACCACGGTGATGTCCCGCCCGGTCTGGCAGGCCCTCCGCTCCATTAGGCACTGGGAGAGAAAGGTGCGAGTACCGACTCCGTTGAAGGCACACACGCGCTGGTTGGGCCGGAGCGGCTCTTTGCGGCATCGACGGCAGACCGACCTGTTTGTATCAGCTGTTGGGAGGGAGATGACATAATTGTTCTCAACCTTATTAGTTTTGTTTATTTTAATTCTGGCAATGAACTAAGGGCTTGTCATGTAAATGCATGGACATTGTAGCTCGGAATTCTGAACGACCGTTGAGCCAAGAACATGACAAAGAAATGTTAGGCTTTGGAAGTGGAAGGACAACTTGAAATTGCACGAACATTTAATCAGGTTATTCAGTTGGGATCTTAAATCCCTAATTCACTCGTCGCCTCAGGTGAGACTCGCACCAGAGTCACAGAGTTGGAAGGCGAGCTAGGAAAGCACAAGTCCCCTCCTCACATTAAGCGAAAATGTACAAGAAGGCTCACCGAACAAACCAACCATCCAACCCAACCCTGTTTCGTGAAAGACATGATAATCTTTAGAATGCAAACCTTGTCTGTTCCTGGCCTCGCTGAGGGCGAACAGCGCCACCAAGACGAAAGCCGCAAACAATGCAAAGGTCTTCATGTTTGACACCCTTGAACCTGTAAGTGAGAGCGGCAGTATACGGATATTATGAACAGATGCACAATTTAGGGTCGAACTAAATCAACCGTCGTTAAGTGATTGATCGAGCAGGAACTTGAATTAGGTTTGACATGTTTCTGTCAAGATAATTAAGACCGAGTCCGAGCAGGGTATCGTACGCATGTCGTTTGGGTTGGACAATCATGAAACGACCCCAGCTGCAACGGCAGTTTTGTGCCCGCGAGACCACGTATAAATCAGTAGCAGTTGGACAATTTGTGTGGAACGGCAGGCAGTAAATTTTGTTGCTGAAAATGCTGAGTGTAGAGTGAGCACATATTATTCCTTCTCGATCTTCAAATAAACTGTGAAGAGAAATGTTGCCCTGAAATTCCTGGATCCCTCCAAGAAATGTTATTCATCATAGTTATCATTAGGAGGAGCCTGACAAGTACATTATACTGCCGGCTGACACTTCATGTAGGCCTATATTTAGCTTCAGAACAAAATCAACGCAATGAACATGCAATTGCAGTTGTTTGGTTCATAATCAACTGATTAGGCCCAATATCTCGAGAACAAGTTGGAGACACAAGATTCTGTCCCTGTTTTCTTTTTTGTCTGTCCACGCCGTACCATGTACAGGCTTATCCCGGGAGAAAACGTGTTACTTATTGTTGCTAATTATACCGAAAGTATGAATTAAAAAGCAATAACTTTCATTTTAAAAGTTAGGGAGACCGCAGGAGATTAATACAAACTGACTGCGACTGAAGCTTTGGAAACCGTTTGATCGAGACTCGTGTTTTCGGAAACTCGTATTTATGATGCACACTCATGCATTACCTCATGCGTAGGGAACACCTTCGGCGAACAATCTCGATTTTCCAATTGGCCAAAAATAATCCTTGAAGACAGTGATCAAGTGATAAATGCTCAAGATCGGTCAGAAATCACTCATGGTTTCTTTTCTCCCTCACTCAAAAGGCCGTTTCACACCGTCCAAAAAATCTCCGTGTTAGACCCCGGGTTCAACCCCTTCATACCAGAAAAAAATCAACACGGCTTCTATTAAAACAGCGCGCGTCCGCACGAATTCTAATCCTGGTCGGAGGATTACTGAGTTGAGCTGTTGAGAGGCTCTAACCGGGTAGAAAATCAAAAATCTACAGGCTACGGCCTACCAGCAGCACCCGGTTAAGTGTGAATGGTATACGCCTTGACTGTATGTTCGATGGGGCCCGGTCCCCTTTCGGTGTACAAGTGTTGATTTGCACATGGGTAGGGAGACGATAGCGTGTGAAAAGGCTTTGAGAAAACAATGGCTATCCACTAAGAGTCTTTCAATGTGTACGTTTTTGACGAGATTTACTTACAAGACATGGAGGACGAAAAGTGGCCAACTTCTTTTCTTCTTTCAGAGAAAGCAGATAAGCCAAATTACTGTAAAATGTATATCCCAAAGAGTCGGTTTGAAAAATTGTCTGCTGTTTGACTTGACCCCACATATTATAGAACTAGACATACAACAATATTTGTCGTTCCGTAAATATATTATGTATAATGAGTAACAAGTTTGTGTTGTTCGGAGGCATTATTACAATTACTCATAAAAACAACGAGCAAAATAAACAGAGTTGTACTCACCTTTGTTGTTCAAAGTGATGCAGAATTTTAGCTGTTCAAAGGATTACTCCGGCTTTATAGTCTACGAGCCCACAAGGAAATGTTGTGCCAGTTTTGAGAGTCGGTTGCTTTTATGGGGTTTTTCCCTTGCGTTAAAACACAACAAGAGAAGTGACGAGCTTATATCTAGTATTCCCGGACTTCCGTTTGAGTCAGTGGAAATGATTCACTTCAGTTTTACAAAACGTGTCCTTTTGTTCCGTTGTGGTTTGTTACTTGGCACTGATTTGGAACCATACCAACATTATCCTTGATTGGAGGAAAGGATTTGGAGGAATTATCAACAGACGAGTCTCAAATTAGCAAAATGGTTTGAAAGCGAGGCGAGCATAGCGATCATTACAAAGTAGCAAAGCATCTTGGCGCAAAAAAGAAACACGTTTTGGAACAAGCCGTGACAGAGGCCCAGGCTGAAACGGATGCATGCCGAATCGGTTTTGGGGAATGGAAGGGGGGTGCGTGGGCGTGGCAATTAGATGCCACGGGAGGGGGGGGGTGAGAAATTCACTCCCTCCCACACCGAAAGTGTTGACGAAACATCACGATTGGAGTCACACAGTTTATACCGTACACCTTGTAAACCTATCACCGCATGTTGGACGGAAATGACATCAAATGTTGCTGGCTTGTTTTTTGGGTTTTTTTTATTATTATTTCCTCCAGATGTTATTCGCATTTTACTAATTCAGGTCAGTTACAGTGTTGGCAATGTTGCCATGCGTATGAATTTGGTCATCACAACTCGAGGACTTAAAGGGAAAATACAACATTTGCAAACATCAAAATATAAAACTACCAAATCATTTTGAAATACCTTGCTGGACTGTAAGTGAATGACAGTGTAAAGCATCCTGTAAAATCATGGCACCTGGTATACTGTCATTTCCAAGAAAAGTGGTATTTTTGTATCAATTTCCAACGCTGGTCGGCCGACCAGCGTTGGAAAAAACTGGGTTTTTTTTCAAAAACTGGCCCCGATTGACCATCGCACTTGTTTGCAATCGATTACACACCTATGAACGGGTACAAGCCAGTAAGACTGGTTCCCTGACCTTACAATTCCCCAATGTATGTAAACTGCTCTGTTTCTTCTTATATGGAGTCAGGGAACCAGACTACAGGAAAATGATTGTTTTTCTTGGTTTTTATAGCATTTTCGAACCTAAAACCTAAAAAAAAGTCAGTGTAACTATATTTGCTATATATTTCCAACCCCCCAATTCCATCCATTTCTGAAAATTACAGCAAAAGCAAATGATGTGTATTCCCTTTAAGGGGGGGGCAACCTATAGCTTCGTGGTGGGTTCCGGCTGGGGTTATTTTAGACAAATGACTTGGGGCACTCGAGCTTAAAATATAGTTCATGTTCTGCCTCAAGGACATAAAACATAAGGGCGGATCAGTGTGTGGGGGGGGGGAGGGGTTGTCAGAACAGGATGATTGAATGTCTAAGCGAAACGTCTTATGAGCTAACCGAACCACGAAATTAACTCCTCCGTATTTCTCCCGACATTCGGACTATCCTTTGGTATACTGCGCATTCTCAATTAAGACTTTCATAAGTTGAGTAAAGAGTTTCAACAAACAAATACACAATCTTTGAAACAAACTTGTGGGTATCGCGACCCGTAACTTTAGTATACTGCATTTTACAGTATTTGTTTATGCATTGTTTCACGAATACTTTAAAAACATGTCAGTCTTAAAGGTTTATCAATAAAAGGCTTTAGATAGAAAATGTGTATTTTCAGTCGACATCATACAAAACTGAAAAAACGCAGTGTTGAATGAGCACCGTCGATGCTTTTTGGACGAGTGATTCGTTTACAGGTAAAACATTAAGGCCGCGGGTCCAAAATACATTTTTTTGGGGGGGGGGGGGCAAAACAATTGTTGTTCCCCGAAAAATGTTGGTCCAAAATGTCAACCCCAATTTTAATATAAATAGCAAGGGGCACTATGTATGGTTTTTGTTGAGTTTGGTGTGGGGTGTGCGCAGTGGCTGCCTTTTTGCAACGTCGCGGTTCCGCCGCTGCAAAACAACCAAATATTTTAAGCCCATCGAATGTTATCTTACACAAGTGTGCAATTCACAGTCCTAGTGAACTCATTTTTCTCTCTGAACAGAACTTAAATATCTCCACTCAAAACAAAAGTAATTGGAAAAACATTACTGTATAGGCCACACTTTGTTTTGGCTGGGCACTTTCAATTTGCCAGAATGCAATAGCATTCCAGCTTAGTTTCACAAATAGGAGTTCCTTAACACGAGTTAATAATATTCTTCCTAAAAAGTAAACCAATTCAGGATATTTTTGGATCTGCGGGTCTAGTCTTAATGGAATTCACCATCGCACTCTCTGCAGGAGTAAGCCGGACCTACACTCGTGTTAGAATTACTTTGGCTTTATGCAGGCTAACTTGATGTCTATACAGGTACATTACTTTTTCATGGACGAGAGCGGCATCTAAAATCAAGACGTTCTAGCATTCTGAACCAATGCGCCAGTCGCTCTTTCGACGTAGTCGCACCTAACCGTTCTTAACGTGTAACTTCTCACCAACATAATTTGCCGAGCCCAAATATTTTCTAATATTCTTATAAATTATTTGGCTCGGCGTGACTTTAAAACGCCAGTCTGAAATGGTTGTCACACAGCTTCACAAGAGTTCACTTTCAAGGTTCGCATTTAAGGGAAGAAATCTCCTGTTTTTTGTTTTAAAGCTCGGCGAGTAAAATAAGAGGCAGGTCGCCAATTTCCTGGTCGAGCCATATCATTCAAAGGGCCCAGGGTGGTTTCACGTATATAACTGAGACTAAGACCAATAAGCGTTTCAGAAATAACCTAATCGAGATATATTCCGAAGGTTGTTGCAATAGCATAGACCAATCCATTCTGAAACGTCACCGTGGCGTAACAGTCTGTCTCAGTGTTCCAAGCACAGCGGCTGATGGCCATCATGTCCGCTCCCTCGATAGATCCAACTTGAACGAAGACTACAAGCCTATAGCGTTTAAAACCAAGCAGTTTCACCCTGTTCTTAATCTCCTCTGACAGTCTCTTTACGACCGTTGGGCCGTCCGCTGGGGCGTACTCCTTTCCTCTGAATTCACCCTCCAGAACTGCGTTCATAATGGCCTCAACTTTGTCCGGACGGAAGTGACAGCCTGGCTTGGGTTCCACGCGGTAAGAGTTCTCGTACCGGAGCTTAGGAGCCTCTTCACCGGTATCCCCAACAGGGTTGGAGTCGGGCTCCGCACCCTCACGACGGAACCGCCACCACATGGACGTGGAAATGCCCTTACCGAAGTACAATGTCTCCCTTCTGGGTCTGCTAGTGATGCTGGGGTCGTCTTCCGTCCAGGCCATCGGACCGGTCTTCCCTGATGATGAGGCCTCCTGTGCAGCGCTGCGATCGCTCCCACGACCTGCCAGCGCGGCAGTCGCTGCTTGAAGAGTCGCCGTCCATTTGCTGCTTCCTCCAGACAGCTGTTTCCTGAAGGGGTTGGTCTCCCGAGGCCGAAATATTGAGCCAGACCCCTGACTGAGGAACGAAGAGGATCTAGAGGACCGAGTGGCACCGGAACTCTTCCCTACCGTGTCCATGGTTACCTCAATGCACGCAGACGGTTTAGATGAAGATCAAATGGTTGAGATGAAAAAAAAACGGTTTCGATCAACTGCGTCTCACTGCTTCATCTCATTTCGTCGCAAATAGCCCTTTGAAAAAAAACTCGTTCAAATTACAACTCCTGGCAAAACCTTATGCCTTCGCACGTACAAAAATCTACATATGAATATCTCAGTACTGTTCGCATCAAGCCCTGAAGATATTTTGAGCACCCTTTTTTCGAGATAGAAGAGCTTACACATGTTGTTGCTGTGTGGTTGTATGTATTTCATGTTTGCTGTGGGGATTTAGATTGACTTCTTTGCATAACACACTTATCATCATAAACCTTCGGCACTCCAAACAGGAGTGTCCGCGTTCAGGATGATTTTGTTTGTACATCCCAGCAATGAAAAGAACCTCTGCATAATACCGTCCTTAAATATGTTAAACCAAAGGCCCCCTCTGTTGAAACTCCTTCTCTAGTAGTCAGGGCTCTTAAACACACTTGGTGTTTTGACTGGTCGACACAATTTTAAAGGTTGAAAAGTCCTTCGGACACTTGAGAGAGATTGCTGGCGTCTGTAAGTTTCGAGAGAAACACCTGCGTAAGAACTGACAGCTTCGCATGCTCACCCACGTATACAGAGTGTACAATATTAATCAGTTGCAACATGGCCAGACGATATTTTATGTGCATAAATTACATCGTCAAAGAATCACTCTTTAAAGGGTTCATTGGATGAATTTTTCTCAGGAACACGTGTAACATTTTACTTCTCTTACATTTTTGAAAACTATTTGACACTCCCTTTTTTAGATAACTTGATTGAAAAGTGCATTTCTTTATTAAACATTTAATAGTTTCCATGCTTTTCCGAAAAACTTGAGGGCGCTGTTGCTGTGACCTCATTTCTGAAAGGGACTGGTCAGTTAAGGGGTGTTGTGTTCAAATTGTGAAACTAAAAATTTGCTCCTTGAAAACATTTGTGAGCAAATTTTGCTCATTGGCTTACTGCCATAACAACGAATCAACACAGAAAAGAAAATTAACGAAGGCGAAATATCCAATATTCTGGCAACTTCTGGTGCTGAAATAGCTGTCAACATTGAGATTTCTTCCTGGGATGACATCAAACTTTTGCGCATGAAAATGGGATTTCGCATTTGCATAAAAAATTAAAAGGCACCAAAATACCCTGGACAATTGAAAATAAGGTTAAATGGCTCTTCAAGGATAGCATAAAAAAAGTTGCATTGCATGGGCCTTTTAAGGAAAGTGAGAAGAGAACCACATGCAATAGAAAAGAGAAATTCAGGATTGAAAGTTTGGAAATAATGATAAGTTAATGAGGGTGTTTCCTCAAAATACATGTTATAAAATAAGAAATTCTGGATGATAGTGTCGCCATCTTGCGGTTCGGGATCCGCTTTAACCATTGATCTCCATTAGTTTTACCAATGGAAATCACTGGCTTTAACACAGGGTCATGTGTCATGTCGTTTCGTATCGTCACAATCAATGTTGCTATGTGAAGTGACTGATACCGTTTTGGTGGGCTTTGAAGTGCATCGCTTGGGATTATAGCGTACAAGCAATATTATGAGATATGATAATCGCAGCAATCCACCTCAACATGATATCATGCTTAAAGGTACATAGGATTATTTGCATTATTCGATTAGTAACCTACCGAATTGTTGTCAATAAAGCTTACTCGGATTAAAGATCGTACTGGTACTTAACACCCCGTGGAATTATTGCTGTGTTGTCAGTTAAAAGAAGACAAGAAATGTCGGGGATTTCCACCGATCAGTCAAAAAACTGATTTCTTGGAAATAACGAGTTCTATTGACAAAATCGTGTTTCGTGATCAAAAGGTTGGGCATGGTTTTTCACAGTTATCTCGAAAAGTGTAATATTCACCGAGCTGAAACTTCCACAGGTTTGTAATATTATTCATGAGGGAAAAAAAATTGAGTCAGAGCTAGGATTTTTGTACCTCCCCCCCCCCCGATCCGCACCTGAAATGCAAGAAAATCAAATAATCCTGTATGTCTTTAAGGCTAGCTTAATAACCCAGAACACCAAAGAAAAAGAATACAGTCACTTATATGAAAAGACAAAATATTCCAGACGACCATGAACTCTGTGCAAGAAGTGTTGATGGTGCCGCGTGCGGCTAATTAAAAGAGCTAGGGCATGGGAAGACATAGCCTTTCACCAAGGCCATCGTGCTTAGCTTGCCCGCATTAGACAAAGCGGCGAAACCGCGAAGCGACTGCGTGGCTACTACCCGGACGCGTCGACGCGCCCGCATGCTTGCACAAAAATTTAATTTCATATTTGAGTGTATGAACTTATTTTTCATCTGAACTTACAGTTATTTGCTCTTACGTTTTCCTTACTCACCCTTCTTTTAAAAATGGAAGCGACTAGGCAAAATCCGCGTTGCGATTGGTTATAAACCTTCAGCACTCTTCTTATTTGTATTAAAAGTCAATGTATTAAAATCAAGTTGGAAAAGGCCTCGTGGCTTTGCCACTCGTGCGTGCTGACTTAATCTTTGCTCCAGTCGCTTCGGATCTTCGCAGCTCCGTCGCTCTAAGCCACGATGGCATTGGCGAAAGGCTAGGGAAGACACAGCTACGTGCCCAATTACTTCCAATATCGGTCATAATGAACACCTGTTTTTTACTAGGTCGAAAATAAAACCATATACATGTACATGCGAATGATGAGCTCTATTTTCAGCAATTCGATGTGGCAATGCACTGATAGCCTCTATTACACATTGGTTGAAAAACTTAAACCAGTTTTCACGAAATCCAATTATCCTCATTCTATACACATGGCAATTGAATTATGTTTTGAATTTCGCGATTTTTTTTTTAATTTTAAGCATTTTATTAGCGCTGTACTCAGGGGTATGGGCATTTAGAGGTCAGTGTCACAGATGAATGCCTGCATGGTGTCGCCTCGAATATTACTTTATTGGTTTCTGAGATGATTATTCACAGGGCCACTCACAGTTTAGACGTTCCGTTAGGATAAAATTGTTCTTTAATGGTTTAAAAGTTCTCAATTTACATCCAAAACGAATGTGAACTCTACTTAACTGTAAGCTTGTAGAAGACGAAAAGTTACGTCAGATTAGTATTTCAGCTAATATTTTTGTTTGTACCATAGCCAGATCATGATGCATACCAAAAACAAACCGTATTTGTGTCATATAGCCGGCAAAGCATCCCGGGGGAAACATCACATCAATAATGAACTCACGGGGATTATTTCCCGAGCATACTACACTATGTAGGCCTACGTCAAAGCATGTATACATCTAGTTTACCATAATGCATCTTTTAACGATCGGACCGTTACTGAAATGAATTAACGTTATTGAACTGTCACTGTCCATTGCCCATTTCGGTAGTTCAAAGCTCTCCGGCATCAAGACGAAGCAGTGGATCTTGATTAGTCTATTTGTAGTTGTAGGCCTACGCTTAAATGTGCATAGTCAAATGAGATTTAAACAAATTACGTCCCAGAATGTCAGAAACATACTAGACACATATTTCCTTCAATTATGAAGTTCGATTGAAATGGCCGGCATTAATATTAGTAATAATAGTGTTGGGAACGAGTTTCAATTATTCTGTTTTTGCTTGACATTTTTTACAAGTTGTATTGTCTACTTACAATGTCTACTAACTGTGTCTTCAACTACATCATAGGCACACAAAAATGTTTATCAGTTTAAAAGTAGTCAATAGAATGCAAAAAGTTGATCCCACCATTTTGGCCAATATGATTGTGACTCTACATGTAATACTGACGGCACAAATACCTGTCGTGTCAGTTTTCAAGACGAAGCCCGCTGTAATCCACTCTCTGAACAGTCTTTTCTATTGTTCTCATGATTTAGGAGTTGGCAACTAACTTCCGATTCTCGAAAGTTACAGATAAACAAAAGTAATAGGTAAACATGGCTGTCACTCCTTTTACATAGGCCTCAACCTAGCACGTGCAGACACGAGAAGATAGGAGGGTCTTGGTATATCCCCGAACCTGCATCGCAAAATGCAGCGAATGACGCCATTGAAGCGTGGATGGTTGACCGTGTAGATGATGGGATTCACGCAACTGTTGCAAGTGAACGGCACGGAGAGAAACAGCAAGACACGGCTGTTGTGCGGTGACAGCAAGGCCAGAGAGTAGGGCGCGCTGAACAAGACAAACGCGCAGGTCACCATGAACAGGTTCATGGTGATCTTCAACTGCTGGCGGCTGACGCGCTTTTTGAAGCGGGCCTCGAGTTGGCGCGTGTTATCGTCCGGCTCCCCCTCCAGACTGACCATTTCGTGGGACTCCCTGAACGACTCCTCCCTGCGTTCGAAGTGTCGCTTGACGTGCAGGAAGATCAGGGAGTAGCTGATGACGATGGTTAAGAGTGGGATCGGGTACAGGCAGAAGGCCTGGATGAGGTGGTATTCGACATACCGTGGATGGGAGTCGATGTCACTGCAGGTGCTGTCCCCCTGGTCGTATCCCAGCTCGCCGATACCAAAACTTAGCGGGATGAGCAAGACGGCTAGCGGTATGGCCCAGGTACACATCACCAAGCAGACAATCTTCCTGGGCGTGAACAGCCACTGGTAGACCGTCACCGGACCCCTGACGAGCAGCATGCGGTTTAGGGCGATGCAGGCCAGGTTGTACAGGCTGGCTCCCGCGCAGGTAAACGACATCAAGGCCGATAGAGAGCAGAGTGCCTCCGATTCCCACGGCCATCCATCTATCGAGAGAAGAGCCACCACGTTGCTGATTGGTAGCAGCAAGCAGTAGCAAAGATCGGCCGTAGCGAGGCTCACCACGAACACGTTGGTGATGTTCTGCAAATCCTGGGATAGGATGACTGCCAGAATAACGATGCTGTTACCCACGGTACCACAGACGAATATTATCAGAACGAGAACCGCTACCACAACTCTCTCCTCGTATGTGAACAGAGAATCCCCCACAAAGTTTAAGCTGCTATTGGTGTCTGCCATTGTGAAATTCCAAAACTCATTACCTTAACATACAGATGACGAACATTTATCCGAGAGCTTGGTTGTCTTCTGGTGATACAGGAGTGAAGTGTAATGAGCTTGTACCACCGTGATAATTAGACCCAATCGTGCCGGGTAGAATTTCAGGTGATACTGAGACAAATCCCAGCAGGCTGCACTGGTGACGATGATATCTCAATCACACTCAAGTGCAAAGCAGACACTCCGATAATTTCAGGCCGTCTGGAGTTTTCTCTTAAAGAAGCATGTGTTTATTATTGCACTGTGGATGCGTGGCACTTAAATAACGCCATCAACAAATTCTTGTCCGTGCTGATAACATTACCGAGAAGTCTGCAAGAGGATTGGATGTAAATCATCCAGTTTAGCCTGCTAGGGCAGCGACGTCTTATTCATACTTCTCGGAAGATATACAAAGAAATATTGTCATGCCATGTAGTTGCATTATAGGATAGTGCGATTTGAGCGAGTGCAGGAGTGTATATGCCGCGATAGATCCGTTGCACAGTGTGACATATGGCCAGGAGTATAATCAAATATGCGACTCCCGTCAGCGCACGTTCTGCATGGTTGATCGTGATGATATTGCCATTCATAAACCAAGATCACCTACAACTTGAATGATCACTGTCATATTAATAAGCTTCCATTTTCCTCTCTCATTTTGGGCAGAAAAAAATTAGACAAGTGCTCTGACTTCATACTCAGAATATGATCTGAGGCAAATGAACACATGTTCTAGCACTCCTGCTTAAGACTGATGTGTTCATATGAAGCCCGGGAAGGGACAGGGTGGAAATTTATTTTGGAATTTCCTAATTCGTTCGCACGAATTACTAATTCGTTTGCACGAATTGCTAATTCGTTCGCACGAATTCCTATTCGTTATTCGTGGGAACGAATTAGTAATTCGTGCGAACGAATTAGCAAATGCCAAAAAAATTTCCACCCTGTCCCTTCCCGGGCTTCATACTTCATATGTTCACTTCATTGACTTACATAGAAGCATGGAGGAATAAGAACATTCCTCCATGATAGAAGTAATAATTTCATATCGGCGGAGAGGAAGTGATTTTTTTTTTACGATGGAAAGTGAAACGATGTTGGCGGCTGGGTTGCGAATTATTTTGCCCAATTCGACAATATCATAGGAGGGCGCACTCTCCCCCTATCTCTCTCTCTCTCTCTCTGCGCTATGCATATTCATGATGTCCAGGGCTTTAAAGAATAGGTTATAAAACAAGGAACAATTATGTTTAAATCACCACATTAGCAGCTAATCCATGGACTGGTTGGAAGTAGTCCTGGCTTCTAATCAGGTGATCCGAGTTCGAACCTCAGTGAGCGTTTTTCACTTCTTATTTTACCTTTCATATAAACTAAAGTGAGGAAGGAACATTTCCACAAAGCCTATCTTGGGTTTGTGTTGTGGAGAACAAGGCATTAGATACGCATGTAATGGACCAATCAGAAGATGGGAAACGGATGTCACTTGGGGAACAATATTCGGCCGGGTCAGGTGAGTATGCTTATGCCACGTGTGTGGTACGCACTATTCATATAGGTACAACGTGTAAGCCTCAAGCAGTATGGCCATCGCACAGCCCAATATCACACCATTTTGAACACTTTGATATATCCTCGTGGCTCATTTCGATATGAAATTATGACTTCGTCCCACTGGTGGATCCGTACCACCCTCACCCCACAAAGACAAGATGGGGCCATTAAAAAAAAAAGTTTGAAAATCGATGCTCATTCCTATCCTTTTTTCCTAACAGAATAAAAGAAAAGGGGAAAAGGCGCCGCCTAGGGTTAATGAGATCCACATTTTCAACGGTCACGGTCACGTCGGCCGCTGCGGACTGCATGGGCTCGCCTGTCGTTGGGTTGCTGCGTGTTGTTCCGGGGGCTATATCTCATTTGAGGCTAAAAGGTTCTTCAAGTTTCCCCATTTACTTTCCTTGGTTTTATTAATATTTCACGAATCAGTGAAGAGAAGAGGTGTTGAGGAAACTGCAGTATGTGACCAGCGAATTTGCCCTCAGTGTAAGTTGGGGGTTGAATCTGAGTTCCATTTTTTACTCAATTGTCCAATATACAGTGCTTTTAGGGAACAAAATAATGTTAAACTTTGTAAGTGAAAGGCATGCACACTTTCAGTTGCTTACAGTCAAAAAAATTATATTTCTTATGAGTTCAACGGATGAATGTACTATTAATTGTGTTGCCAAATTCATCTTTTTGTTTATGAACTTAAAAAAAAATCTTAATGTCTGATTGCTCTTGATGATTTTGCTTTCTCCTGCCACTGTATATTTAAATATGCAGGTTTAAAACGTCGAAGTACCCTCCCAGGGGTTCAGGGTGTGTTCTAAGTTGGAGTTAAAACAAGTGAAATGAAATGAAATGATGTATCGTCTAGAAACAGTCGTCTCCACTCGATCGTTTTTTGCTTTAATTCTTAGATTTAGTAACATCAGACAATCTTGCTTTATACTAAAATAGCATATGATATCAAACTTGCATACATGATATCAAATACTTAATGGGAAATTTAGATTTTCATATTTCCTTTTCCCATACCATTCATTTATTTCCTGCGTATTTAATGTTACTTGTTGCACCTAACATGACTGTTCAGGTCTGAATCAAAATTAATGTAAATGTGCGCTGGCCTAGCTTTGTGACTGTTGTGAGTAACGTAAAGGACCTAATACAAGCAGCTCATCTTGTCATGCCTTATATGCCATTAATTTGACACGACCGCAACCAAGCGCATATCGGCTATACTCAGTGCTATACTGAATAAAGCTTCAATCATGGATGTTAGAATTCCACCTCCATGGTTGAATATACATGTTGCATGTTGGAATGTTGCAGCAGTTTTTTTGTAGCCAAAAAATAAAGTCAGGCGATGCACCGGAGTCATTTCCCCGAATTCGCTCGTACCCCCCCCCCCCCCCCCGCCCTGCAAACAGGACGCTGGGATACTCTGATGATGAATTCACGCTCTGATTGACGTGACCTGTGACCTGCGGGTAATCACGGTCATGACTCTGCAAGATTTGAAACGGCCGTTAAGACTGATTCATTACTCTTTTATTCCAGGTTAGAGATGGTGTTGTTTTTTTTCATTGAAAAGCGTAATAATGTAGGAAATTCTGTAAAACTTATCTGTTGAAAATTTACAATTCCAGTCACTTGCTCAGGCTCCGTTTCGAATCACGAACGGTCGGATTGCATTATGCGACGCTCAAAATTTTGTCCACATGGTCCGCAATAAAACAGAAATCACATCCAGTATGGAATAGGTCACGAGGCCACTTCCTTCACAAGATTCTGTGAAGCTCATCAGAGTATCCCAGCGTCCTGTTTGCAGGGCGGGGGGGGGGGGGGGGGGTACGAGCGAATTCCCCGAAAAGACGGTACATTCACGTCCGCGCACGGTCAACGTTGTACGGAAGCCCATTAGTACCAGGTACCTGTTTCTCGGCAGGCTGAGCTACTGCTGCAAAAATGAGATGCTCAAATTATTGGCTTTCGTGCGATATATAATAAGTTTTACCTCAGGTTTTTCAACATTTGGTACAAAATCACCCTTTATCAGGGTTATCACTTCCAAACTAATATCCCTTCTGGGTTATCCGAACTTTTTTTCCCAACCAGGTGGGACAGTTTATGCCTACGTAAGTCAGTATGACCAGATGATAGTTATTCTGTTTGCGTCTTGTTACAAAGATGTGAAGAAATGATACGTTCATGAAGAATGTTGTTATTGTAATGATGATTTGTGGTCTGTGACGCCTGACTCAGTCTTTGACCGTTCGATCAGTTCTGTGGATCGGTGCCTAACCTCAATAGCTCGCAAACATTAATAAATTGCAAAGATTACACCTGCTTCGTACAATCGTGTAATTCAAGGAGATATAACATGTCTCAAAGTTGTAGTCTGTTTATTTCATGTGTAAACGGCTTAAGTGTCCCTTTCTGTATTCTGAGGCATTTTGAGCTACATTTAATTTAATTTCCTGATGACAATAATGACTTATTAGGTCACAAAAATAATTATAAATTCACTCATGCAGACAATGACATTTCTCGTATATCATAGAGCGAGGAGAGGCAACTATACGGGGCCGTGCCACGAAGTCAGTGTACAGGTAACTACTTCTAAGTAATCTCCGAGAAGAAAGCGTCCTGCAAACATTATAATTTCACATAATTTGCATAAACCGTCGGTCAAAATGTATTATAAAGCAGCAGACGGTTCTTCAGTAGCTCTAAGTGTATTGTTTTACCCAAAGCTGCCTGTGAAATCTGCCTCGTTGACTTGACCCTACATTTTTATACAAATCCGTGGTAAAAATTTGATAGGCAAAACAATACCAAAATACATGAGAATTAATGAATGTACTTGTTTATATCTATAGGTGTTTGTAAAGAACTGGATTTATGTAAACTATTTCAGCACAATATGTCTAATCCAAAAAATAAACTTGCAAGGCAGGTATAACAGCGTCGGGTTGTTATGAAGCCCGGGAAGGGACAGGGTGGATTTTTTTTTTGGAATTTCCTAATTCGTTCGCACGAATTACTAATTCGTTCGCACGAATTGCTAATTCGTTCGCACGAATTCCTTTCGTTCGCACGAAATAGCAATTCGTGCGAACGAATTACTAATTCGTGCGAACGAATTACTAATTCGTTCGCACGAATTAGTAATTCGTTCGAACGAATTCCTATTACGTTCGCACGAATTCCTATTTCGTTCGCACGAATTCCTATTTCGTTCCCACGAATTCCTAATTCGTTCGCACGAATTACTAAATCGTGGGAACGAATTAGTAATTCGTGCGAACGAATTACTGGAGTTTGCTAATATGTTCGCATGAATTACTAATTCGTTCGCACGAATTACTAATTCGTGCGAACGAATTACTTATTCGTTCCCACGAATTAGTAATTCGTGCGAACGAATTAGTAATTCGTGCGAACGAATTAGTAATTCGTGCGAACGAATTAGCAAACTCCAAAAAAAAATTCCACCCTGTCCCTTCCCGGGCTTCATAGGTTGTTAAGACTGGTTCCGAGAAGTTATTTCGGCTCAGTGGAGTCAGTCTCGAAAGTTGACCCTGAGAGAATACAGTCACTCGCTTATATATTAGCTTGTTACTGTTGTGCCCATTCTTGAAAATCACGCATTCTCGAGAATGGGCGCGCATTCTTAAGAATGAGCGCCCATTCTTAAGAACGAGCACGCGTTCTTAAGAATGAGCGCTC